ACCCACATTATTGCTATGACTGCATTCAACAGCAACTAAATGAAGCTAAGCATTTCATGTGTTATTTGTACCACAAACAGTTTTTGCATTCGTATTTGCATTTGGCATTTGCTGTTATTGGGTTTGTATTTATACATTCTAATTGATTGCATTCATAACACAAATAAAGTTCTCAATTTGTGTACCAATTGACACACACTCGGACAACTCCTATTCGGCCACATGAAGCAAATAAGAATGCTGTAGTCGAGTCGAGCTCGACTTCATTTTCACATGTGCCACATGGGAAGCACCACACAAAAACCAAATTCAACTCGTCTTTTGATTTGATTTAATATATTCACTACTCACCAAACCACTGTATATATATGTATATCCAATATAAAAAAAAATAAAATAAATGAAAATAACGAGAATTTAAATAAATTTGATTGTTTGCTGTGCGAGATTTGTATGTTGACTGAATTCTTAAATAATGTGAAGCTGGTAAAATACTAAACAATGACAACTATCTCAATGCTAATGTTTAGCTGAAAAATCATATTTATTTATTTATTCAGTTTCGATTGCAGCAAGCCTTCAAAAGTATGCAATCTTCGACCGTCCAGAAATAGTTGGCATTTCTTGTTTTTATTATATTTTGATTGAATTAAATTTAAACAACTAGACAAATTGAATGTTTTAATTGCAACAGACAAACAACAAACATACACTGCGAGAGAAAGCGAGAGAGAGACAAAGAGACAGATGGAGAGGGAGAGAGAGAGAGAGCCAATTGATGGAGGCTGCTGCAAAATTACTGGTATTTGAAGCAACTAGCTTTAATCAAGCAAGTGACACGTATTTTAATTTCGAGAGTTTCGATTGGGAGCCAAGTGATTTGTATTCCGTCAGTTTTTGACGAAGAGTGCAAAATTAACCATGTCCCAGCCATGCCCTAAGCCAGCTTATATAGATAAACAGAAATGCAAATATCTAAAATGAAATGCAAAACCCACCAATGCTGTATGCTCAAAGTGGTAACAATGAACAATATTAGGGCACTTTATAAGTGTACAACAAATATTAATACGGGGTTGTGGTCTGGCTAAGCATTGCGTGTGTTCTAAATGAGTCGAAGAGTGTGTTTGAGTCAGATTGTCTTCGCCGGGTTCGTGACCTAGCTAGATGCCATAGTTCCACTGTTATGGCATACGTCACCTAGCTGTGTCACACACCAACGAAATCCATAATGTGAAATAATTTCGCGTGTTATTTGCTATAAATTCGAATTAATGGTTTACGAATAATTGCAATTTGTTTTCTATCTTCAATTCGAGCGAATATTGTGGACAACAAATATATATAGAAATAAAAGTAAACAGCACACAATATTAATTTTGTTTCGAGTTTTAGACTCTTTTTTTTTATTTGTGTTTTTTTTTTGTTTTGTTGCTAATACAATTAAGATTTTGAGGTATTTATTGTGGATTAATGCTCGTAAAGGCAGAGCTTTCTATAAGTCCAGTTGGAATGCTATAGTAAATATCCTGTTCGGATACGTTTGGCTTTGCAACACAATCGTGGCTTTCGGCCTCTGCCTGACGAAGTCGGACTTTGTGGCACAATCACTATGGACTTAACAACCGTTTATCGAAGTAGTTGGACGTGGCACAGTCAGACAAGGCTGCATAGGACGATTCAATTTGAAATTGCCATGCCAATTTCCTGATAACCACGCGCCTTCTTAGCACAGTAATTCTTGCAAATTGATTCGAAATTGCGATCGTAGAACACTTTAAACCAATTGGCAAATTGATAGTTTTCCCGATAGTTTCCCTTGATCAGCTCCTGTATGTCAAACGAAACGTTCACTTGCAACTTGTTGAAGCCTTGCTGCAACAGCTTGAAGTTCTTGATATAATCTATTTTCTGATTGCCCATGAACTTCACATTTCTCATCTGAATCAAATTCGGAAACAATATGTCCATTAAATTGCAATAGGCAGCCCCCGTGCACAGATCCTTAATCCGGGACAAATTGCTCTCCAAGGTTTCATTGACCCAGTTGAGGATTTTAATTTTTGAAAACTGCTCCTTGGAATTCCGTGTGAGAACCACATTTTTAGCAATACGATATTCGTTGCCCATATTTCTGGAATTGGAATCAAAATGACCATTGGAATGAAGCAAGAGTATTGCACAATAACATTTACAATTTGTATGTTAATAAAAAAGCATATTTCTCATATGACCAACTTTCAACGCTAATTTTGTTGTTTCGTATCGAGAGAGAAGAGAAAATGAATTCAATTTGATGATTGACTTGAGAGATTCGAAATGATGTGTATTTTATTTACGAATCCACTTACTTATCATTACTTATGGAATTAGATAATATATATATCCTAGAAAGAGACCAATAAAAAGCAAGTTCATTATACTTTGTGTATGGTTACATTTAATCTGAACAAATATCTTATCTTATCGACTTCTACTGTGCTTCGCATATGCCAAACCAATGTTTAAAAATGTTTGAAATCAAAATTCGTTTTCTAAAACAGACGCGATTTGGAATTCTATTTCAATTTTGGCAGTTAATGAATTAAAGTAAATGGTAAACACAATCGTATTTAATGTGGAACTCCTCTGAGGTGAACACCACATAGAATATGTACATTTGCGATGGAATCCCAAAGATAAATTCCATTTCTGGCTAAAAATAATCTCGCTCTTTGTTTGGTCAGGTGGCAAATTTAAGTTCAAATGAACATTATGAGCACAAGAAGTGAGTGTCTCTGTCACTTTAATCGTTAGATAAACAAATTGCACAAGTCCCTACAAATATTTAATTTGGCTAAAATGCACAGACACACAAATACACACAAATACACACAAATACACACAAATACACACACACACACACAATCACTGGGATAATTTGTAAACAAGCAATTCAATCTTCAATTGCGTTCGAGATATTCTTACCCCCTTCAACCCGTCCCCCATGACCTTCCCCAACTACCACTTTATATGCGACTTCCATCGGCTGACCACCCACATTATTGCTATGACTGCATTCAACAGCAACTAAATGAAGCTAAGCATTTCATGTGTTATTTGTACCACAAACAGTTTTTGCATTCGTATTTGCATTTGGCATTTGCTGTTATTGGGTTTGTATTTATACATTCTAATTGATTGCATTCATAACACAAATAAAGTTCTCAATTTGTGTACCAATTGACACACACTCGGACAACTCCTATTCGGCCACATGAAGCAAATAAGAATGCTGTAGTCGAGTCGAGCTCGACTTCATTTTCACATGTGCCACATGGGAAGCACCACACAAAAACCAAATTCAACTCGTCTTTTGATTTGATTTAATATATTCACTACTCACCAGAACCACTGTATATATATGTATATCCAATATAAAAAAAAATAAAATAAATGAAAATACCGAGAATTTAAATAAATTTGATTGTTTGGTGTGCGAGATTTGTATGTTGACTGAATTCTTAAATAATGTGAAGCTGGTAAAATACTAAACAATGACAACTATCTCAATGCTAATGTTTAGCTGAAAAATCCTATTTATTTATTTATTCAGTTTCGATTGCAGCAAGCCTTCAAAAGTATGCAATCTTCGACCGTCCAGAAATAGTTGGCATTTCTTGTTTTTATTATATTTTGATTGAATTAAATTTAAACAACTAGACAAATTGAATGTTTTAATTGCAACAGACAAACAACAAACATACACTGCGAGAGAAAGCGAGAGAGAGACAAAGAGACAGATGGAGAGGGAGAGAGAGAGAGAGCCAATTGATGGAGGCTGCTGCAAAATTACTGGAATTTGAAGCAACTAGCTTTAATCAAGCAAGTGACACGTATTTTAATTTCGAGAGTTTCGATTGGGAGCCAAGTGATTTGTATTCCGTCAGTTTTTGACGAAGAGTGCAAAATTAACCATGCCCTAAGCCAGCTTATATAGATAAACAGAAATGCAAATATCTAAAATGAAATGCAAAACCCACCCGAGAAACGCACAATGAACAACGAAACTAAGATACCCTATACAGGGTATTATTGGAAGTCAGCCTATCAGGTATTTAAGTATTTAAGACAAGAATATTGCGCAAATATGAAGATCCAAAATAATCATATAGAATACAAATACAAAAATAATCGAATTGGGTAAATTACATTTTGACACAAAAACAAAAAGGATTCTTTTGTGTTGCCGAAAAGAAAAATGTGTAAAAAGAGCAGACAGTTTTTGCCAGCCAAATGATTTATTTCAGTGTTACAACGACAGATGGATGTGCCCATTACATGAAGAGTTATAATAAAAAAAACAGCAGAAGATACACATATATATATGTATATATATATAAAAAATCAGAAAAATCAAATGCTTTGACATGAATAAAAATGCTTAATAATCTTTTACATGCATGTGATTTTGAAATGTAAAATAAATAATGACACACGACATAAGGCAGATCGAGTCAAAAATATTTGAATTTATGTACGTTGCCGCAAAAGTTGCTAAATTTGGCTGTGAATGCCACCAAATGTGCAAATATGCAATAAAATGAATTCAGAATTCCAGGGCAAAGAGTAAACGTACCACAAATGTACAATTCGTGCCGTTTTCCAGTGCACAATGGGAAATTCGACTCTTTGCTGTTGCGATATGGGAAACGAGAATTTCCCTTAAGCAGGGCGCTGGCTATAAAAACGCGCTGGCAGCGAAGCGGCGGCCCACAAAGCGACGGCGAACGCGACGCGACAGTTGCCAAACTCAAGCAACTAAACGTAACGCAACGCAACGTAACGTAACGTAACGTAACGAAAGTTGGTTTGAGCGGGCGGCCAAAGACGTAAACGTGCCAACCGTTAAACATAACGTTGGCCACAGCAGCGGATTCAAGCGTTTGCTCACAGCCAACAGCATATGCAACATTTTTTTGCGTGCACTTGTGTGTGTTTGTTATTTATGTTGTTCTTTTGAAATTGCCACACAAAAAAAAAAGAAAGAAAAAAAAACAGTGCTTCATTATGTGGCACATGTGAAAATGACACATTGAGAGCAGACACAGAGACAGAGACAGAGGCAGACACAGCGCAGTGCAACAGCGACACAAATTAGCAGCTGAATAGCGGTCACAGGACGGTTCGTACAAAACACCCTCTCCCCCCCCCCACCCCCCCAAGCCTTTCACCCCTCAACTACTACTATCCTAACGCTAGGCTTCGAAAATTTAGAAAAACTAATTCAAATACTGCATGAAACAAGACGATATAAATTCTTACAACTTTGAATAAATCATTCTAAGTGTTGCTAAATAGTGCGCTCTAATACAAAGATAAAAAAAGTTTGTTGGTTGGCTTTAATAAGACTCGGTTCCACATTAGAATATATGTTATGTTTGTCATGTTAGTCTCGTACTACTTCGATGCGAGTCACCTCCCAATTTAGCTGATAGCATAAAGAGCAAGCCAAAATTATTCCAATCACAAAGCAAAATATTTATCTTATGCCAGTAACCCACAGCAATAAATATGTTTGAATAAAATTGCTTGAAGCCAAAAAAAAAATTACTAATGAATATTTTAGTATTTTCAATGCTGATTTCAAGTCGATGCAGCAGTTAATTATAGACTAATAACACTCAGGCTTAGCTCAGCTTACCTAAACCTAATCAGCCTAATAAAAAAAAAAAACTTAATATGAACGTATTTCGATTTCGTGTTAAAAAAATAAATAAAACAAATTTATAATTGCACAAATTAAATAGAATTTGTTGTGACATTTGTATTTTGATTGAATTTGGAATTGCTATGAAATTACTTAACAACCATGACAAGTAATGCACAATGCACATCTGTTGCTTAATTTCTTATAAATCGAAATATATATATATATATCTATATACATATATAGTTCATTATTATTCTTATTCCATTTTGATTGCATTAAATTGGTATGAATCGTCTGTTTTTGTGGTATGGCAGGCTTAAATTTTAATGTATTAATTATATAAGAGAGCGAGAGAACGAGAGAAATATTTAAAGGCGTTTGCACAATGACAGCAATTTGATACAACTGAATTCAACTTATACAGACTTGGACTGTTCCTGAACATATATATTGTTGTCCGACTGACTCGATGATCTCAACCATTTCTCTGTGGAATGCGAAAGACACAGCAATGTTTGCATGCACTTTTCTTTATTTAAATCAAATGACGCAATGCAAAATGCAATTCAATATTAAAACTAAGGATCTCAAGTCAGGCAGTAAGAAGACAACAAACTGAATTCAATCCTCGAATATAGAGAGAAATTAATAGTTGAGGCGCATAATGAGCATAAATCATTGGTTTGCATTGCTACAAATTAGAATTCACTTTGCGAACTATATCGCACTGTACTCGTACTCATACTCATACTCGTACTGGTACTCTTATCCATATCCGTAACCGTACCCGTAACCGCACCCAGACCCACGTCCAAATTTGCCCATTTCCCGCATCATTCATTTATTCAGTTGATTCGGCTGCGGGCCGTGCTTGCCCATATTGAGGGAAGCAGCGCTCCATTAGAGAGCCATGTTTCGTGCCCGGCCATTTAATTGTGTGTGTCCCGTGGTGTCTGTAACAGTGCCAGTGTCTGTGTGTGTGTGTGTATGTGTTGGTGTGTGTGTGTGTGTCTATGACTATAAATGGAAGTGTATTGTTGGATGGGGCTTTTCTTATATTGTTTGGATTTCCATTTCAATTTGATTCCTTTCCTTTCTATTCCTTTCACTTCGGTTCGATTTGATTCAGTTCGATTCAGTTCGATTCGATTCGATTCGATTCGTATTGTTTCGTTTCGTATTCATTTCCTTTGGCTTCGATTCGTTTGGTTAGAATTCGACTGAATTGAATTCGTTTGCTGGTAATGAAGCTAGTTGCCGCTAGTTTTCGCCATTGCCGCACAATACTAGTTACCATATTTTTATGGTCGTTTTGTCGCCAGAGTGTCCTTCAGTTTTAGCATCAACATCAGCATCAGCATCAACATCAGCATCAGCATCAAGTGTCTTTTGACGTTGATCGTGACTGAGGGCGTAGGGGAATAGGGGAGTAGGGGAAAGGGTCCACTTTCGATTGCTCGTTTGATTGGCCCCACTCGACTGGATGGGGTTTGAAGAGGCGCTCAAAGGGCAAAGTGAAAGGGATGGTAAAGGGAACTGTAGTGTTCCGGCTTGATTGTGCACAATGTTGTTTGCCAAATACGAAAAGCAGTTGAAGTTTGCTATCTAAATTCACGAATGGGGCGAAACTTTCGAGTGTAATGCAATTTTCAATCTATTTTCTGTTTGCAATGTAACAACAATGTGTGTGCGAGTATACACTCTATTCGTATCACATTTAGTATTATAAAGTCAGGATTCTTGAACATTTGAATAGTTATTTTTATGCTGGTTTTCGTTTTCAACCAAATTGCCTCAATATAATGCTCGGCAGCACACACAAATGTATTGTTAACAGCTAAATTAACTTGATACGAGTACTTTACTATATTCAGCTTCTCCTCTCACAATTCACGACATGGCAGCTGACAAAAAATAAAAGGAAATCTTAATTCTTATACAGAAATTGTGAGCCTGCACTTAAATTGTCAAATGCAAACATTATTCCACAATACTTAAATTCTATTAAATGAAGCGTTGGCTTAGTTTGGACAGGTGGATTAGAACAAGAGAAAGCGATTTTCATGTTTGACACATACACACACTCACACACATACACACACACACACACACATTCACACACTCATTCGTAAACACTCATTCACACACTCATTCGCACACTCATTCGCACACATATTAGAGTGTTTATGAACGGTGAGCGGGAGGAGTGGGAAAACTTGGGAACCTTGAATGGCGTTTCAGGGAGCTTCATTAGGCGCTTAACAACACTGCACTCTGAATATTCCAGTGAAATATTTTCGAAAATCCCAGAAACCGAGGCCAACTCAACCAAATGATTCATTAAAGCAATTAACAGCCAGCTGACCAATACCACCAAAAATGTTGCTCATTTCTCTTGCAGACATCTGAAAAAGCTGGAATTGAAGCAGCAACCACAGCAGCAGCAGCAGCAGCGGCAGCAGCAGCGACAGCAGCATCCGGGAGGGAGTTGGTGGTGCCACCAAATGCTCATTGAAATTTACGATTATGCTGCGAAATTATTAAACAATATGACCGCAAGAACAGCAACAATCATTAATAATCTGGCCAACGGGACAACAGCAACAGCAACAACGACACCAACAGCAACAAAAACAGCAGCAGAAGCAGCTGCAGCCACGTCGCCCATTCAAGTGGACAGGCCAAATCCCAGGACGGCCACAAATCTCACGTCCAAACTGCTGCAGGCAACCACCGGCAATATGAAAACGCTGCTCAACCGCACGCTGGCCACGATTGCCGCCCAGCATGCCACGTTGCCCACACTGCTGCTGCATGGTGGTCTTGCCGCTGACGTCACCAGTGGGCAGCGCATTAGGCAAATGCCATCCATTGCGAACAACAGCAACGCCTCCATCAGCAGCAACAGCAGCACCATCCTAACCACCAGCGCCAACTACAGCGATACTGGTGCAATTCAGGATGTGTACAATGCATTTAGCGGCACCTCCTCGTCGCCATCATTGTCCGTATCCTCATCTAATCTGAGCGGTTTCATCCAGTCCTCAACAACGGCAGCCAGCACAGTGTTGAGCAGCGCCATCACCCATTTGCCAACGGCGAGCAGCGGACCAGCAACCACATTCCCAGCACAGACGATGGCCACCTTTATTGCAGCCGGCAACAAGAATCGGGCTACCACCATCATTGTCTATCCAACGGGTGAGTCTAATGCAACCAGCTTTTCTCCATCTCTCTCTCTCTCTCTCTCTCTCTATCTATCTCTGTTTCTCTCTTATACAATCTCTCTCTTTGAATACTTTTTGCGTATTTTTTTGTGTCTGTTGTCTGCTCGATGGGATCTATTTGTTGGTTCAGTTTGTGCATCGAGCTCAACGTTTCCAATGTCGGCTCTAGCTAATGGAGCAGAATATTGCATAAGTTGTCATTGGTGGTCATTCTTCCACTTGTTTGCAATCCATTTTGATTTATGCATGCATTTCTCGCACATTTCATATTTTCTTATATTTTTGCATTTCACACTTGCCAATAAAAGCGTCATCAAAATGGAATAAAATCAAACCAAACCAGAAGCCACTAAACTGAGACTGAAGCAGAATATTAGTGATGCATTTGCGAATTTCCACTTAACACCCAATCCCTGATTGGAAGTCATTTGTTGTCCTTTCAAGCTTCGCCTTCATTTTCAGTCGAGAATTTGACATACTTTGGATGGACATTCATTTGTTTGGCCCTTGGCTAATAATTGGTGGCTGGTGTCAGTTAATCATAATTGTGACTTGGGCCAAAGTCAATGAATGTTTAAATACGTAATTTGTATTCGGCTGGCGCTTAGTCGATTAGCACGCTCGTCACATTAATGTCGGGCATTGGGAATAGGTGCCAGATCGCCAACCAAGCCTGCCAATAATCAAATCAGCTCAGCTCAACTCAGCTCAGTCAGCCAGTCAGCCAGTTAGCCAGTTAACAAGTCAACCAGACGGGGCAGATGCGGAGTGGCGGACGAGGAGGAAGTCGCGTGCCAGGTCCAATTAGGAGCTAATTTGCATGATGCCATCCATTAGCTCATTATCTGCAATAGCTCCGATTGCCGAGTGAACCGCTCGTACACCCACCAGATTAACCAGTTAGGGTGTTGCCTGTTTATTTATTTACCTCTTTTTTTTTAATATACCCGCCGATCATTTAATGCCCAACAGGAGTCTAACAAAGTTATTGTCATTTGTAGCATATTTCTTCGCGATATCAGTGATCCTTTTCTTAACTGCAGCTTCTATTAGCCCGAAAATAAATTGAAAGATACAAGATTAAAGTTCATTCGAGTCGCAGTAGTCACAGCTGTAGTGAATGAATGAATTTCCCGAGAGAAAACATTTGTAATTCGTACAATTTCTAATGTATAATCGTAGACTACAGGGTAACCTCAAGTCAAGCACTCTTGTGAGAAAGAGTGTTCACTTATCTGTGCACTTATTGTGCCAGTGCAAAATACGTTTGACTTTTGTGGGGAAGAGGTGTGGCAGTGGCAGAAATAAGAAGTAAGGACCCAGGCATCCTTGGGCATTAATGCAGCAATTAGGCAAGTTTAAGTCGCATTAATTGTAGAGATTGGGCGACTATTAACGCGACTCAAACCGTTGATTGTTTTGGGCAGCATCAGCAGCATCCGTAGCATCATTATGGGTTCTTAATTTGGCTCTGGGGCCTAAGTGCAGACGACAAACTCGCAGGATATTCACAAATGTGAGTGCTGTAAATGCCGCTGGCTGCTGCCGCTGGCTGCTGCCAAATGTGGTTTTTAGTTCCCGTCTGCTGACTCAGTTGTCCTTATTAAGACAAATCCGATAGTCGTCATCGTCGTCGTCGTTGTCATCGTCGGTTTCGACGCTAATATCTCGTATCCTTATCATGCTGCTTATCTTCGCTATATCAGTATCGACAAGCGACAATGTCAATGTCAGCGCTTTCAATGGCCTCCGGCTGTGGTTGGCAATTGTGGGCGGTCCCCTACACGCCCTCGTAACACTGACTGAGTGAGTGTACCACAGTTGTCGGTGGCAAGCACGTTGAGGGGCTGGTTGGCGGTGCCCGACACAAAAATACTTTCCGAGAGCGCTACCAAACTTGTCCATTTCCACAGCAACAACGACAAACAGCCACATCGAATACAACGTTGTAATAAAATATGTGCAAACATACATACATACATACATAAATACATACATAAATACATAGATACAGCCAAAAATGTATCGTAAATTTGGTGCAATAAATTTGTTCAACTTGAAGGCATACGTGCCAGATATTTGTTGAAATATTCTCTTAAATTCACTTGCTTGTCATTTTGCAATTGAGGCTACAAATATTTCCTCAGTATAACATGCATTTGCATAAATTAATATATATATATATATATATTATCTATATAATATATAAGTGAATAAATTTGTTTGGGAATATGCGAGAAAAACAATTTGATTTAGAAACTTAAGCGTATTAGACAATTAGAACAATTTGATATGAATATGATAATGATTATTTGGAATTTGTGGTTCGCTTGCACATCTAATTTAAAGGAATTTAAATGCGACGCCAAAAATACCTATTTGGAAAAGCAATCAATTTAGATTATGAGACTTAAAGTAACCGCAAAACTTTATATCCAAAATGCAAAGTGCGTAAAGAGCTTAAGCACGTTTTTGGGATTATATCAAAAGTTTTACGTTAATTCTCAACGAAATGTAATCAAGTATTTTGTGGACAGTGTCTCTCCTGGTTTTTTTTTTTTTTTTTTGTAAAGTGTCACGTGCAAGTATTGATCAAGTTTTGAGTTAGGACTGAAAGCTCTCGCTGACAAATATGCAACAGTCGTTATACGCTAAGCCAGACAGAAATATCTTCATATTCTGTTTGTTTCTCTGGTTTCAACTGGCGCCCCAAAAAACATGACTTGGTCACGAGCTCATCTCTGAGAAATACTCGCACCATTAGACGCGTTGACAGCTGATTGACTTTTCATTCAGCACTTACCAACACTCTCAAGTGAGTGATATATATATATATATATATATATATATATAGCACAGACTGCCTTTGCCATGGAAACATATCTTAGTATTTCACTAGCAACAACTGCTTTAACATCGCATGCCAAGTGAAGCTGAATGTCTGAAGATGATTTACTTTTGGAATTACTTGAGCACCAAGAGCAAATGTTATTTTAATACATACTACATATGGGACTGGGCTTAAATAGATATTATTATTTATGTATATTGTTTTTTTTTTTTATCTTCAATATTCATATTCGAAAAAAGAAAGTTTTGTCGAATTATCAGATTGATAAAACCGATGGTTTTTTGTTTTATTTGTTATTTTGCTTTCATTTATTACTTATTATATTATACTATTTATTATTATACTATGTTATTCGTTTTGATTTTTTATTTATTTTTTTATTTAATTTCCACAACTGACAAAATTTGTTTATGTTTAAAACACAAAATGTATAATTTATTGTGCTCTGAAGACGAATTCCAACGCTATTCAAAATATATCGGAGGACAAAAAGTACAAAATAAAATAGTAAAGTTTTTGAATTGAATGGAATATGAAATATATAGCAACATAAAATATAAGATGATAACGTTCTTTGAACTGACAATAACTCATTTAAGAATACTTGACCTGGCGCCAAATAAGCATTCATTTAACTTATTGACTTTTGATATTTGAGGTGAGCCATCTATATTCGTATATTACTATTTATATATTCTTATAATAGACATTCTTTCCGGTTTCTCATTGAATTCGACTAGCTGTGGCATGTGAATGCCCAAAACGCGCTCATCTCTAACCTGAATGCGAAAAATATTTATCTCTTTTTTTCCACTTGATTCCATCTTTTAGTCTGTCTCCAGCTTGTGGCTGACATTAATTTGGTAGCTGTTATTGTTGTTGTTGTTGTTGTTGTCGCTTTTGTAGCGCATTCCACGGCTGACTTCGAATATGCAAACATTCAATTTCCATTGGTTGAGTGGATGGGGTTGGGGATGGGAATGGGAATGGGGACTGCCTGCAGACATCGCGGAGGAGTCTTCGCAGGAGGCGCATAATTTTTATTGTATTTATTGAATATTTCCAGCATCAAACGCTGCCGCCTGATGACTCAGCCAAAATTACAGACTTCATCCGCAGGCGGGGAGTGGCTTGTTTAGCGAATGCTTCAACTCCAAGGGGCAACAGCAAGAACAAGAACAAAAACAACAGCAACAAGGAGTCCTAGTTTTAAGAAGCTGCTGCTGCTGCTGCTGCTGCTGCTGCTGCTGTTTCGCCTTGTATGTCTTCTCAGCCACCCCATCAGGGTTCAATTTGTGTAAATTTGAACTGTCACTTTGAAGGCGTTAATTGGATTCAATAACGTCAAACTGAGTGCGAGACATCAACAGTTCGGAGCTAGTGCAGCATCCGACCATCCATCCAGCCATCAGCTGTCTCTGCTGTCTCTGGTTTTTTTTTCTTTTGTGCCCTGCTCCTGTTGGCGCTCTCATATCCGTTTTAGCCAACTTAATCCCACACACCCCTGTCCACAGCATTTGCTGTACTCAGTGTACTGTGCTTGTTTGCCAAGTTATATTTAGGACACGACAACAACATTTTTGGGACATGGATTTTTGTGGCTTAGATTAAGGGGCGGGCAACTGGGAATGAGGGGGATGGAGGTGTGACGCCTTGGCATGATTGTAGTTGGATTGGATTGTGGGCGTGCCCAGTTTCAACAGTAAGCAGCAGCAGCAGCAGCAGCAGTCGCAGCAGCAGCACATCGCCAGCATACACTGAGAGAAAATTAATTTGAGTAAATGTTAGAAAATTACAATTTTACTTGGAGTCAGTTCCAAATTTTACTATACTAAAGAATACAAAAGTCCATGCTTAATTCTTTGTATATTGTATAATATTTAAAACGTTCTTCATTCAAATTTATTTCGCACAGTGTGCGCTAAAAATCAGTTCGTAGTATTTGAATGGCTTCAAATATATGTGTAATACATACATACATATATACATTTAATACATATACATGTATATATATATATATATATGTGTGTGTGTGTGTGTGTGTGTGTGTATTATACTTATAAGATATAATGTTTTTTGTGGCTTATCGGCTAAGGACCTTAATAAAAATGTTTGCCTAAGAGGATCGCAACAAATTGTTGTCTTTTGTTGTGGTTTTTTTGTTGTTGTTTTTTTTTTTTTTTTTTTTTTGAACATCCACTGAACTGCTTTTTCAGACAAACAAAAGACAAATTGAAACAAGAATAGCGATAACGTCAACAACTGCTTAAGTGGTGGCTGGTTGGGTTGCGCTGGTGGATGGTGGATGGTGGACGGTGGTGCAGCTGCCCAGCAGCCACGCCAGCCACACAAGCCACCGCACCGCGAAACCACTTAATCATCAAGATAAAAGGTTGAATGCTGCACGCGACCGGATGGAAATGAAATTAAAAAACGGAAACAAAAAATAAAATAAGAAGCAGAAAACAGAAAACAGAACACAGAACACAGAAACCGAGGACCGAGATAGGTATGAAAATGCAAATGATGCCAACGGTCGTAATTTGGTCAAAAGGCTTCTGGCCCAGATAAAAACCACGGCTCCCAGGTCGACGACTGTCAGCGCAAATAAGTGTTGCCTACATTTGGAGGCCCCATTTAAAACCCAAAATGAGAACAAGTAAAACTGCTTGTTGTTGTTGTCGTTGTCGTTGTTATTGTTGTTGTCGAGTGAGCTCGACTACGAAATACCCTGCACCCGGCTGTTAAATATATTCTAGTTCTATTGCCAAATATTCTCATAAATGTTTTACACACTCAAATGTAAACACACGCAATTAATTTAAATTATGTCTCAGTATATTATATATATTATATTTTGTATTTGAATAAAATGAAATGGCTATTTGACCAAATGAAATAAACTAGATCTGCGTGAGTTATACAAGAGAACAAGAGAATATGCCAAATTTGCAGTCTCCAACTATTATAGTCTCTGAGATCGGTTCATAAAGACGGACTTACTTTATGGGCTCGGAGATGTTTCATGCTGCCAGTTATGTTACCCATTTGCAATGGGTTGCAATGGGTATAATGAACCCGCCCCAAGATGAGCCACAAATTATGAGCAGAACATAAAAAAGACGATCAATTTTGTTGCCTACTTTACAGAGCATTCTGACAGCAGCTCTGTATTTCTGGCCAAAGGATATATGTATATATATATATATATATATACTCACTATATATAGTGAGTGTGTCCTTTGCAAAGTAAGCACATGAATAAATAATTTGCGGACGGGTTGGCATTTAACGTCTGACAGCAGCAATTAGGCAGCAAAAGCATAAAGTATAAAATAAGGAACATATGAAGTTTACTTTTTACAATTATTGCCCAGCTTATTACAATATGCACAAAGGGGCACATTTGCATACCCTTGCAGAAGGTATTTTCATTATACCCTCAACTTATTACAAATGGCAAGAAGGGTATAATCAGTTTGTGCAAAATCGATAGAAATAAAAGCCACAATTTTAAACGCAGAGCCTTCCTTATATATCATATGAGATGCCCAGATTATATATATATATATATATATATTATTGATTAACTGTACAGCAAGATCGAATAGATCGGCGTAGATATATATTTGCATTCTGATACAATAAATATTAATTTAGGAAGAGTATTTTGATTTTGTTCGTCTGTCAGTTGGTTAAGCGTTAGTTCAAATTCGGGCTGCTAAAATCGCTAAATCATCGCTATAGCTTAAGCGATTATAATATACACTCTAAATTTTAGACTAGAAAGTCTTTCTTGTGTTTACAAAGATTTTCTAGATGTAAGTAAATGAATTCTAAAAATTATAAAAGCTTGCGAGAATCCAAAAAATATTATGATTTGTATTTAATTTTTTTAGATATATTTTCGATTATGATCGAGTATCGCATTTCTAAAAAGTAGAAATGCAAAGCCCTCATTTATAGAAAAAAATCCATACTGAGTCAGCTATTGTATTAGAGTTTATCTGTCCCATATATCCGAGGAAGTCACCAAATTCACAGTCAAAATAACATCTGTAAGTTTTTTAATTTTAATTAAGTTGTATAAATTTAAAAAGTATCGAGAATGTTTAAGGTATATTTAAGATCTTATAATACTATTGTTTATTAATAATAAAGTCAACAAAAAAGCTAATTTTCGAGTTGCTTGTGTAAACTGTGTGAAAAATCAAATGAAAAATGTTTCCTGAAATTAAGAAAGAGAAAAAGCCGAATTTTTAGAAATATACTTTGTGGCACAAAAAGTATAATGAATTTCGAAAATCAATGGCGATTTTTCTGACTGAGTGTACTTGCCACAAATTTTACATTTTTTTTTGTTCTATTTCTATTTAAATATATTGTTCAAAAAATGTAGTTGGACAACAACCGATTTGTAGTGTCAAATTGTGAAACTTTGTGATCTGTTTTGTCTTTGCAGTTTCACCCGAATCGATTGTCATACCGATCGTTTCGTGCATCTTTGGCTTTCCCATCCTGGCGCTGATCGTCATCTGCTGCTTGAGGCGGCGGGCCAAGCTGGCCCGGGAGCGGGACAGGCGACGCAACTATGATATGCAGGACCACGCTGTCAGCCTGGTCAGATTTAGTCCAATTCATAGGCTTAGTGAGTTTGAGTGTTGTAATGTGTGTGTTTCAACTATATTTCTTTACATTTCTCTCTCGCTCTCACTTGAACTCTCCACCTGCCACTCTCTCTCTCTCTCTCTCTCTCTCTCTCTTTTCGTTTCTATTTACATTAACAGTCAAGTGCAGCTCGAATAATTTCACAACACATTTATATTACATACATACTTTCTTTATATAGATACATATCGCACACAATTTAGATCTTTATATATAGAGTATATCTCTCTCTCTTTGTCTCTCTCTCTTTGTCTCAAGCACTCTTTTTCTATATATACATATATATATATATGTGAATCTTGTTGTGGGTCTGCTTTCTCGTAGTAGTCTATTTATATTTTGCACCCTCAACAAAAACAAACGTCCCCTCGAAAATGTAATTGAATTTTTCCACTTTGTTTTACTTGCATAAATTGCATTTTAAACTGAGGGGCGCATATCAAACACCCGAAGCCTCATTGTTGCCCCCAATTGCCTGCCTGCCTGCCGGCCTGCCGGCCTGTCTGACTGCCACAACGCCCCCTTTGTTGTTTTCCACCTGTTTGGCAGTCGACCACTAATTGCAAAGCCACCAAAATCGAGAGTTTCAATTCCAAAAATGTTGATTGCCATAATTTTGAGGTCGACTAACAGCTAAATTTGCATTTTCAATTAAAAATCAATACCAAACCTTAATTAATGTAAAATTCCGAAATTACGAACTGATTAATTTTTAATGGCTTCAGCGAACATTTCGTTATGAAATTAAAACAAAAAAACAAAAAAACACTAAAAAAAAACAACCGAGTTATTGTGATATATTTATTCGATATTTATAACTAAGTATAACTAACATTATACTGCTCAACTGCAAGTCGGTTCTTTGTTACCTGCAATCAGCCCTTCCATTGCGTACCGGAAGAAGGTGTGCAAAAATACCTGAATTTTTATGCATTACGCACGAGAATCGGCATCTGAATTTTCATTTTGGAAATTTCGTTTTGACTGCCTGATTGCAATAATAAAAAAAAAGGATTTTTATCATTCTCAATTATTTGAGAGAAATTCCAAAAATATTCCGTTCATAAATCTCAATAAACGAACGGAAAAAGAAAAATGCTCAAATTTCCGCAATTTACGGATTTTACGGCCGCAAATATTTGAAGCGCACAAACCGGTTTTTATTTGCAAGGTTCAGGTGGGGGTTGGGGTAGGGGTTGGAAAGGGATATTTAAATTGCAGTGCAACAAACTTGGCCCACTTGCAAACGAGAGCACGCTGTAACAATCTATTATGCCCATTTGGACAAAGCCGGATATGAAACCTGGCCAAAAAAGAAACGAGCACAACTTGCGACTCGGTGTAGGAGTCAAGCTGGCGAGTGCCTGCTGCGACACACACACACACACACACACACACACACTGGGACAGCCACTCAATAAAAGCAAGTGTTCACACACACACACACACACACACACACACAAATGTCTGGCGTTTTGAGTGTGTCAAGCACAACAGGAGCAGCTGGCAGCATTCGCATTTGCATTTGCATTGCATACCTTTGGGCGCTTGCCCTCGTTTGCATATGAACAACATCAACATCAACATCAACAACAACATCAACAACAACATCAACAACAGCAGCAGCAACAGCGACAACAACGAGAAATAAAAACTTGCCCTTTTCACATTGCTGCACGCCACACACACTTGCCACATGCACGCACGCACAGCCAGCCATATTTTATGTCATCCCCTGTATCCCATAAATATGGCTAATATCAGCTATTCATACGCTGCGCGTTTGCATGCAACACCCAGCAGACATTGTATAGAACATTGCCACAGAACGTTGAAGTTACAGCTACGAATTTATTTAGTTTTTTGTGTCAACTAATATCAGTCGACGCTGAAAACTACAAAAAATCAACTAAAATTACAAATTGAAAATTTAATATTTAAATTTAAGTTCAAGAAAACAAAAATAAACACAAATTTGTATAAGTTTTCTGGGTGTGTTTAAATGCAGAATTGCCGAAAACTCAGTAATAAACCCAATCAGATCAAGATCCTGATCAGGGAAAATAACACAACAATTTTGATCTGCATTTGGAAGAGGATTTCTTTCTTTAAAAAAACACAACTCTTCAAATTAAAAAATGTTTACAAAGGTTTTCTAGATTTTGCTTTTGTTAAAGAAAATAAATAAATAAATGACACAAAATAGCAACGTTTCTGGAAGATTGTGTCTATTTTAATTTTCTTAATTTCAAAGCACTTTTTGCCAAAAATGTAGATAAAAATATGTCAAATTTGCAGTTTTAGCTTTCTTAATATTTATATTATTATGAAGAAGATAAGTAGAAGTACACACAAACATTTTAGATAGTTTATCAACTTCTTTTCAATTCTAAGAAATTGTATTTCGTATAAATTAAGTATTATTTTTAAAAACACAAAAAACTTTCTAGTTTTCAAGGCGATTCACATTTTAAAACTTATGTTTTTTTTTGTCTCTGCTTGTAGATTTTTGTATTCTGTATTCGAACACAAATTAAATTTAGCAATTTAAAAGAGGGTATCTTCAAGTCGAGTTTTGCATTTGAGATTACTGCACACTGAATATGAAATTCAATGATTCCTGCCACTTTGATGATGATGATAAAGAAGATGATGATGATGATGTTGACAATGTTGCTGTAGCTGTCACGATAACGGATTGTTGACAACCACAAAGCATACTTGTTGGTTGCCCCTTTAATTGTGGGCTGCCAATTTTTGGGTATTGCATATGTTTTCAAAACAATTATGCAGCATCAACTTTACCGCAAACCCATAGAACACAGTTCAACTCAAACCGTGCACAGTGGTGTGTGTCTGTGTGTGCGTGTGTGTGTCTGTGTGTGTGTCTGTGTGTGTGTGTGTCACTAATTAGGACAGGCTGCCTTTGGAATTCGGTTGGTTTTTTAATGTCGCAAGCAAACTCATTCCAGTCTGTCATGTCTTTGTCCCACTGTGCGCAAGTCATTGTCAGACCTGCAGCAAAGTGTGTATGTGTGTGTTGGAAGGAGGAGGAGGGGTGAGGGGGAGGGGTTTTTTGTCCTTTGCACGTTTTGACATTCACAATTCATAAACATTTTTCACATGCCGCACGTTTTTATTTGAAATAATATTTTAAATTTGTTTTTTGATTTAGCATTTGACTATTTTGAACTGAAAACTTTGAATTTGCAATAAAATTTTAATTGCTTTCCTTGTTGTTGTTGTTGGTGTTGGTGGTGTTGTTGTTGTTTTTTATTTGGCTGCCTGCAGATTACCGATCGTCGCGAGCTATCAGTCTACGTCCTGAACGAAGCCTAAGCCAGGGCTTCACCTCGCTGGAGCTGGACACCGTGCTGGAGGAGCGCTGCAGCGATGTGGAACAGACGCAAACCGAAATCCTAAATCCCGAATCGCCCATGGACACCAACTCCTCCTACAAGATGTCCTTCTCATCGAGCTAACAGTTAGCAGCAAAACAACAGCAGCAACAGCAAAAGCAGCAAAAGCAGCAGCAGCAGCCGCAGGAACAACAACAGCAACAGCAGCTGCAGCAGCCGACGACAACGATGGCAACACGCTCTGCGCTCACGTCGCCGTCGACGTCAATGTTAACGTTGTCGCCGTCGCTTCGCAAGGCGGGCAGCATGCGTGAATCGCACGATCCGGCAGCACTGGCGAAGCGTCGCAGTCGTCTACTCGAGCTGCGCGCCGCCAGCACCAGCAGCAGCGGCAGCAGCAGTCAGGCAAGCGAAGCAGCAATTGCTTTTGGCATCGGTGGTGGTAAACGGGGCTCGAAACGTGACCGTCGACGTGGTGGCGCCGGTGCCGCCAGTGGCTCAACAGCGTCCACAATGCGCAAATCGCAGTCATTGGACGCCGCGGAGAGTTATTCGCTGTCCAGCATTCAGTCGCCATTGTGGGTAACGCTGACGAATGCGCGCACCATCGAGGAACTGGCACAGCAGAAATTGTAGATGGCGCCAACAAAAGAAGAACCCACCAAACCAAGCAAAGCAAAACAAAACACCCAACAGATGTTGTAACAGCTGTTAACACTCCACAGCCCCCCTTCCAAAAATGGCATTACTCTATAATGGTGAATTAAGCGAAATCCAACGGTTTTTCTCATAGCATACACAAATACATACATACATACATAGATAAATCCACCTTGTAAATGTTTAAGTAAATGTAACAGAATAACGAGTATACAAAACAAGTTACAACATTAACAAATGCAAATATTTCAAGTATTGACCAAATGTAGTCCAAAAATAAATCTGAAACAAAATACAAAACAAAAATAAAGTTAAATGCATTTCAATTAATTTTACAGGTCTATTTGGCGTTCAAAAACAGTGCTGATTAACACGATATGTTGGACATAAGCGTCTGATAGCAGCCATAGAACCTAACAGCGTGCATTCCATTTTTAGAAGCATTGTGAAGTTAACAGTGATTGTGACTTATGTAAAACGATGATAGGTGGCGCCAGCACTGCACTGCACCTGTGCAATGCGTAATTTAAGTTAACAGCATTGCGCAGCGGCCGTAAACTGCTTGCGGGCAATTCAAAATCAAACGACGTTTTTTTTTTGTTTTATAGGTTTTTTTTTGTTTTTATTTAAATTATCTTGTATATATAATAAGAGCTTAAAATACAAATTTAATTTCATTATCAAAATACATTGTTATACAATTTCCTTAGTTGTTTGTTTTTTTCTTATGTTTTGTTACAGATCTTTAGTTGCATGTTTGTTCATATTTCTCTTATTATGTATTTAGTTTAGCATTTTTACTTGCACACCGTATTTCTTTATGTTTTTTGTATTATTATTTTTTTCTTTATTATTATTATATATGTAATTATTTATATGTATATTTATAATATTAATTAATAGAAAAAAATACTAACAAAAAGAAGAGGTCGTCTTGGATATATCCATTTTGATATGCATGTATGCTTGCATATAAACAGATTCAAGTGCAGCATATACAACATCCGTATGTAGTACTCCATATAATACAAAAAAAAAAAAACATTTTAATACCAAGCGAATAGAATAGGATAGAATATAATAGAATAAAATAGCAAGTTTATACTATATACGAGTCGCCAATAGGAATACGAAGAGAAATAGTCAATTAGAGCTACAAACCTCGTTACAGAAAGAGAAAATACATACGTAATTTGCGTAAGAGAATTAAAATAATAATGAAAAAAAAAAACACAAAACAGTAAAATGGTTTTTACAATTGAACTACTAAATTGCAAGCACTGTGCCCCGTATCTGTGTGTGTATGTGTGTATGTATCTGTGTGTGTATGTGTGTGTGTGTGCTTGATGGGTGTAAAGGGAACAGGGCCTGAGCAAATTAAATACCATAATTGATGCGAGTGCCCTTCAGCGTGATTTTAAAATGTTTATAAAAGATGTGAACATATCTGTTGCATGAGCAGAGCATGCTAAAGAAAGAACACAAAGCACACGTGTGGTTTTTTTTGTTTGTTTTTGTTTTTGTTTTTAGTTTTTGTTGTTGTTTGGTTGTCTTTTTGATATGGTCTTTAAATTTGTCGCTAAAAGATGCAACGCTTTTCAAACTGTGCCCATGAGAGCTGTGTCTGTGTCTGTGTTCGCTGTCAGTGGCGCTGTAAATGGGGCAGCCGCAGACGCCGCAGCTGCTGCTGTTACACTTTACACTACTTGTTGTGTGTTATGATCTGAGCTTTTGTTGTTGACATGAAAAACGCTGAGCTACACATATCCATTCAAGAGAATTATCAGATATTCTAACTTTTTGCTATGCTTTTTGGGGAATCTTGGGAGAGGGGCTGTGTTGGAAATCCTGTTTTCTTCAGTTATTGCGTCACACGTGACAGAGACAGTGACTCGTTACTCCTTACTCGTTACTCGTTAATCGCTAATCGCTGATCGCTGCTCGCTACTCGTTACTTGCTTGTGACAACAAGAAGCAACTGGCAGACATAGACAACAACAGGCAATATCGCTCTCATCTCTACGGTTTCTCTACTGTTCATTACTGTTACATGTGTATCGTTGCCGCCGTGTAGCGCGCCTCGCCGCGTCTCCATGACCATTGACTGGGACGGAACTGTATGGGGAAGGAGAAAATAATAATATAGTGATTAATACAAAATAAAAACTGATCACAACAAGTGAAGAACGCATTTTAATGTTAAGTGCAAATGTTAATCACAAACCTGATGCAATTGCTTGGACTGCATGTAAATATATAATTATAAACACGTTTAAGTTAAGTTTAAGTTTTGATGTGGAATCGGATAAATCGATTGATCGATAGACTCACCTGTATGAGGAGCTGTCCGCTCCGTGTGTGTGGATTTCGGTACGCATAGAAGAGCCACAGTGTCACGGCGAATACCAGGCAAATGGGCCCAATAAACCGAAATGCCACGCCCACACTCTTATTCTCCGGCGGCTGTACGGCGCCGAGATGCTCGCTCCTCTCCACATTGACGCCGTCGCTGTTATGCTGTTCGCCATTTGCTGGCGAAAATTGCGTGCTGCTCACTGTTGGCTCTGTGGCTGTGGCAGCGGCGCCATTTGACGCCGGCGTCGATGAGGAGCTGATGCCACCAGTGTTGTTATTGTTGTTGTTATTGCTGCTGCTGTTATTGTTGCTAGTGCTGTTATTGTTGTTGTTGCTGATGTTCTCCTGTGCAGCATTGTTGCCCTTCTGGCCGAGCGCAGGGCATTCAGGGGTTTTACTGATTAGCAATCGATCGCAGCCTGCAATTTCAATTAATCGAATTTACTATATATAATATATACAACGATAACGATAACGATAACAATAACAAAAGAAAAAGTTCGAATTTACAAACTATTTTCAAAGAAACGAATCGAAGATCGCCGTTAAACGCAAAGCAAAAATTATTAACTGTAAACATATTAATATTTATCGAATAATATGGCAACTTGGCAACTTATTGGTAAATTTAAAATCGAAATAAATAAATTCAAAATTAAAATGAATAAATAAAATACAATTAATATAAAACGAAAGTCTTAGAATTGCTCTAACTTTAATATAGAAATCACATCAATAATGATGTTGCAACATGTTGTAGCGAGTGTTTTACATACCCTTCTGCTGCCATTCCTGCTTGCCACGATCAGTGCCATTATGGGTGGAGCAGCGATTCAGCGTGGGGCACCAGGCGCACTATGACGAGTACATGAGAGAGATTAGCTGGTTAAATGGAATTAAGGGATGGGGGCAAGGTGGAAGGGGCATTCACCTCAAATGTTGTATTGTGATTAAGGCACGACTCGCAGTCATTGTAGCGCAGGCAGGTGGGCTGCGCTGTCAATTTAATGAGCGTGGCATTTGTGATCTCCGTCTGCCCAAATGTGACCCGATGATACTCATAGATGGTCTTGCGGCGAGCAACTGCGAGAGCGAGAGAGAGAGAGAGAGAGACAGTGAATGAGATAGGAATAGAGCATATAGGAAGTAAGCAGAAAAAATACGTACAGAAAAGCATCTTGTCAACGATGTAAGCATCGGAGAGTCCCACTTTGACAGGATGCTGATTGTCCTGTATGTTGCTGATCACCGTCGGCAGCTGATAGTAGACGAACACAATGTCGCCATTTTGATGCAACGTGACGCTGAATGTGAACTTGCCATACTCGGGCTTATCCTGCAACGTGACGTTCTCCCAGACGACTGTGAAGGCGGTGCCTGCCATTCGTGCAGGAGAATGGGTCAGGATCACACAACGAAACAACAATATTAATAAATATAACAACAATATTATAAATATAAATGAATGCAATTACTTCAGTTTATACCATCTGTTTTCTGGGTTTTCCCCAAATCTATGCATGCAACAATATAATCCTGCAGCACTTTGCGATTATTTAACTGCAGAAATCTTATAAAAATTTCTTGTACAAATTGACTAGAAAATCACTATTATATCACGCAATTTAAGAGCTACAGTTACCAAACTTGGAAGGTAGATTTTGACTATGAACCTCCTCCAATATATATATATATATATATATATATACATATATTTTTTTTTAGAGGTAAATCTAACAAACTTGGCTCCACACAACCGACACTGGATCTTATCAGATTGGTATCAGAGTATTTCGCAGTCGGCAACGCCCAACTCTTGTTTTTTTAAATTAACATTTCACTTTAAATATTAAATTGTATTTTTAATTGATTTTTCAACTTTTGTATTTTTCGGTGTCAACTGATTTGAGTCGATTTATATATATATATATATATATATATATATATATATGAGCCTTACCATTATCTTGTAGCCGCACAAAGGAATCATTCGAAATGCTGGTATCAAAATTGGCCATCAGTGGCGCTATATATTGAGTGGCCGCCAGCCAAGAATGGACGTAGACGCCGGTGAAGAGAAAGCCGCCGGTGGCAACGGTTATGTTGCGCACATATTGGCCATAGAAGGGAAAATCGAATTTTAGCTCAACGGTCATCGCGCGACGATGCGCAGAGGATAGCATTGTGTTTTCTGGTATGAGACGCACTTGGTTCCACATGGCCGTTGTCTCGTTCTTGTTCACATAGAAGAGACTCTGATAGTAGAAGAAGTGATCTTCGCGACGGGTGAGCGATTGATTCTTTGCCCGATCATTGATGACATCGTCGGCCACATCGACATCATCGATGATCTGTCGCTCGGTGCTCGTGCCCGTTGCCATTGGCATCTGGACGGATGAGGGTGCCTTCTTGGGATATGGCGATGGCTGTAAGGAGGCCATCAGTTGAGTTTTCTTTAGTGGAACTGCCGGCAAACCAGTAGCACCAGCACCAGCACCAGTTGCCACATTGATGCTGGTGGTGATGCTGCTATTATTGTTGGCAACAGCATCGCTGCCACTGCTCAGATCCTTGCGCTGTCCGGTGCCATTGACGCCGAAATTGTGAACATTGTAGGAAACGCTGCCGGTGGTAGACGCCTTGCTATCCATGGTGGTTGTCAGCGTGGCAGCATCTGCGGATGAAACGATGCCGCCGCCGCCGCTGCTGCTGCTGCTTATGTTGACATTACCATTGCCGTTAACGCTCCGATATTGATTCTTCGCATCCTGCGTGATGGTTGCCACAACTGGTGTCAATTCCGCCGGAGCTGTTGGCACAGCGGCACGACGCGGCCGTAACGCGCGCGACTGTACCGGCATCAGTCTAACAATCTCATCCGGATTGATATATGTGAGTCGAGTGGCGACGGTGTTGTATAGCTCGGGAGCTGGAAGCAAACAACGCACACAAGATAAGTACAATACACGGACCCAATATATATATATAAATATATTTATTTTTGAGTACATATATGCGTCATTAAATATGATTTTTTTTTTTTTGATTAATAAAAAACTTTATGCGTCGATAAGACGAAAGTCAAAACAAAACTTAAGTCGAAAATTTAAAGAAATGTTGTTTCTTATTTTGAGGGCATGCGGGTCTTGAAATTTTCCAAGGTTATTTCGTTTTTGTCGTTGTTTTCTTTTTTATGTATCAAATTAAATTAAAGTTTCTACAGAATCGTTCGAGACCATGTTGGAATGGCCGGCACAGTCTCCACATCTAAACCGGATTGCGAATGTGTGGTGTGAAGTTATAGTTTGTTTCTAAGGTTAATCCAACGAAAAATGTGCAGCTTAGGGAGACTTTGAAGTGGACTTTGTCATCGATAAATAAATATAATATATCTAGTTTTTCGAAATATTATTTAACCCCAGAGAAAGCTAAGAAAGCTTCAATAATATTCACATTTCTGATAAATTTAAACACTTTAAGCTAGCTTTGTTGTTAATCTTAAACCTATGCATCTTTTAATGTTTATATTTATCTTCAGTATTGATAGCTTGTGTCTATAATTCCATTATTCAATTAAAATGTATTTTTGATATTTTTTTTCCAAAAACATATGTGTGCACTTCTATTGTTTTGACCGCAACTGTATAAATAATAGAGACAAATAGAGACATTTTTGCTAACAAACAACGCATATTTTTTTGGTTCGCTCAAATAAAACAATAGCAAAAAATAACATTAAAAAATGAGCCGAAAATTCTTTACTCTATAAAACATGTGTTTTAGGTTTGACACATTTCACAAACAAAAAACGAAGAAGTTAGAATGCTCTTAGCGAAATACAGCTCGACTAGGAGATACCCTGTGTAGGTGTAAATTCGTTTGTTAGTTAACAAAATCTGCGTTTCTTGTCCAAATCTAATGAAAATTGTACAGTTCAGATCAATAATACGTCTGGGTATAGTATGAATCAATAAGAAGGCTATATCGATAATCCATTTGTTTCCATATTCACAAAATGGGGCAAAATGGTTATCGATAATCTGATTTGTGTCGCCTCCGAGATCCGATTGTTCATAAAGTCAAACATGGCTATATCGACTCGGCTATTGATGATGACTCGCAGATGTTTCCCCTTCAGCCTGTCACATACCTTTGCACAACTTCATCATACCCTACTTTTGTTTAGCCACTTTTAATGGGTTCAGTGCTTAATTATAGAATCGATGGTCTGTTTCAATTTAGGTATCGTCAGTCTGAACCTCAACAAAGCATATATTTGTGGTTAAATTGATTTTTGTTGCGTTGTTTTTGTGGGTGTGCATTAAAATTAAGCTTCATCTCTTGATTTTATGGCTTTTCGTACAGAAACTTGTTTAGCATCAAGCACAACAATACAGGTTCAAATGTGCTGCGATGTCAAATCAAATAAAGTATTTAAAATGCGTTGATTAACATTATATATATATATATTTATTTATTTATATATAATATACTTAAAGGTCTTGTGCGTGATGTACGAAAAGTGTGTATAAAGAGCAGTGTTAAAGAGCGCAATGACTCTCATTAAATATGCACATAAATGCAAACAACACGTGTATTTATAACATTCGGCAGTTTGATCAATTGATATATTGATCAATTTTCTTCTGCTCTTTTTTTTAACTCATTTTATTTTTCGTCTACACCGCCTTTAACCGCATTTTGTGCCTATTTTTTTTTTGCTGGCGTTGTAAATGCTCGCGTTAACTGTTATTTGACGCTACGCGCACAATATCGATTTTCTATTTTCAAAGTGTGTTTCACTTGCATTTATACATGTGGCACCTACCCCTCCTGCCTTTACCCCTATCCCTACCTCTACCGGCCGCAGACCACTAAATGCCTTCGCAAACATTATGCAGTTAGTGCGGCTTATAGCCAAAGAATTCGAGTAACTAGATATGCTTATATAAATAGGCACACACACACACACACACACACACACACACATACATACATACATATGTACACATACACATATGTATGCCCAGCAGCGAACTATTGAATGAATCCTCTTCATTACTGAATGAATTCTGTATTCTGCGCACAATGTAATTCATTCAGCAGCATTAGTATTGGTCTTGCATGTAGCGTTGTAATCTGGAGCTTCTCCAAGTCAAGCACATTAGCGAAAACTTCAGTCTTATCTTTATATTTTTTATATGTGTTGATTTCTGATCTGTTTCACTATCTCGTTTGATTAGTGTACTGACTCTGCTTTCCTTACGACAGACGTAACGTAGTGTTTTTTTTAATTTTTAAATCTAATCATATTTTTAAAATTATTTATTTTTTTTTAAGAATAAGTCATATAATTGTATATATGGTAAATCTATTTATAATTATAGATTAGCTTCGGTTAGACGCTTGTCAGCTTGTAAGGTCGTCACACATACGCCATGTTTGACGCGTTGTGGAACCGTGTGGAATCTAACTCGGAATCTATCCGGCACTCGTTTAAACTGACCTGCAGATTATTCTTCTTCCACTTCTTTACAGCTTCTGCAGAAGTCACCATAAGCCACTTGGAGTCTATTGGCATGAATTCCGCACGGATTACAGCAGAGCAGCTTGTGCGACTGAGTTTACACAATGCTTTGTGTTTATAGTGGGACATTTTTGGCGTGATATACGACTGCAGGTTGCGTTTCGCCATTTGTCATTAGACCTGCGTCTGTTTTCGTTGTTGATTTTGAGCTTAGCGGTAGCCAGAGGCATACATATACCTTTCTAATCAGTGATGAGCGGAAATAGAGTACCTTTCATAGCTAACTATTCAGCCTTGCAGCCAGCCAGGCACCCATTTTAGGCTGATAACATGCTGCTTAGCCATCGAGTGCAGAGAATTGCGACTTGTTAGCGATATTTCGAATTTGTTGACATCGCGGTAAAAGATTTAATAGCCGCTTGGCTAACAGTATATATATGTTAACATTATATATGTAAACCTAAATTTCGAAAATATTGGGGGGTATAATGCAACTGCATTATAATATGTATACCTTGGTGTATGGAATCGAATAGCGGAATGCTTACGATCCCTGTGTTTACTGTACCCCCGCGTACAAAGTATAGATTACGAATGGAATTCGTAATGCGGTCTTTTTCGTTGCTGTGCTGTATGTGTGTATGCGTGTGTGTACACGTATGCATACGTATCAAAGGGCACTGCGCCATTAATCGCACGATGTTATTGTTTTTTATGGTCGCCGCTCGCCGCTTTACAATAGAATTATAGCATGTGGTCAGAGATCAGAGTAGAACAGGCCGCACATAACGGGATGAATGCAATATCGTTTACGATCTAATAATATGGAGCAGGTCTACATACACACTAACTCAATCACACACATACACTTGAGCTGAAAAAAAAAGTGTTTAATACAAATAATGCCATTTCGATAGCAAAAACACTTTTTTTCATCGCAGTTTCAGCTTAGTAAGTGAATTAGATCAGGTAGCAAGCATCGATTGACTGGAATGAAATTAACAAAAGCTGCTGTTTTTTTTCAACCTCCCCCTCCTCCCTCCTCAAGTCATTTGTTTAATACTTGCACTTTGAATTTTGGCTAATTACAGATTACTTTTTGCATAGCATTTCAGAAAGTGACGCAAAAAAGCTGAGTGTGAGTGTAAGTGCGAGTGAAAGGGCGAGCGAGATGCATGAAAATACTCAACACACACACACACACAACTAGATGGAACAACGTCATCTGATTTGCATTTGTCTGTTTCCCATTGCCTTGCATAATTATTGGGCTGCGGTCACACTGAGTCACACAAGTGCAACTGCTATCTCACTCGCACTCACAGCAGCAGCAGCATATGCTCTTCACGTATTGCTTTTGCTTTTGCTGCTGCCGCTGTGTTTGCCTCTTAGCAATTGTGCGGTGTCTGATTCAATTGAACCCGGTGTTAATTGTAATGTTAATGGCTAACCCGTTCGTCGTTGTTGCTATTGTTGTCGTGGTGATGATAGTGGCTGATGTTGCAAATAATTGGCTCAAATTAATGCAGCATTTGATTGAAAACTGAAAGTTATTGTTGGCATTGTTGTTCTTGTTGCTCCATTTCTGCTAAGTTAACGTCCTCACACGCAAACACACGCACACAAACACACACAGGCAGAAGTGTGAGTGTGACCCAATTTGTTTTTTGTTCTTTCAATTTCGCTTTGGTTGATTTCAAGGAAATGCGAATGCAAAATTGTTGTTGGCGTCGCTTGTTCTTTTTTGTTTGTTTAGCGTCGCAATTGAAAGCTTTTGCCTACTAATTAGTTTTTCTTTCATTTCATTGTTTGTGGGCTGTTTGTGATAAAGAGCATTTTGCAGAAGGAGAGGCAAAAAAGAGAGAGCGAGCTTGAGGTGAGACTCAAAAAGGCACACCTGATAACTAAAATATTTGCATAGCATGAACGTTTCTTCTTGTTCTTCTCCCTATTCGACTTCTGCTGCTTCTTCTGCTTCATTGTCTTGTGCTTATCGCGCAGGTTTCGACAAACTTTACAACTTGAAATAAAGTTTTGTTGTTGCTTACTGCACAAATGTCAACAACAAAACAATTGTACAGTTGACGTTTTTTTTTTTTGGCTTCTAGCGCCGTTAGCCGGACATGCTTATCGGGCCAAATCTATAATGGCAGCAGAAGCAAACAAACCAAAATACAAGACAAGACGAGACAAAACGAAATGCGCAGAGACCCCAAAATGCATTGGCCGCAGCAACGCAGACGTCTGCGGCGATGACGCAGTCAGCATTTAACAGTGTAACGGTGACTGCTGGTAAGAGCGAGAACGAGAACGACAGAGATCAACAACCAAAAAGAGTGTGAGCGAGATGCTTATATAGAAATCGTGAGAAGCAATGAGAAGTAAGAAGTGAGGTGGGAGAGAATTTTGTCACTGACGTTGATGTTGATGATGTGCTAACTTTGACGGCAACGCTTCCTGTTGTGACAGTCCACGAGTGTTTGTTGTGTGATGGCTGCACAGGTGTGTGTGTGTGGGGGGGGGGTATATATATATATATATATATATATATATATATGTTGTAATAGCAGATTAAAGACAAACGATGCACTGTGGCTGGTGAATGGGAATACGAATACCAATACACACAAATTAAATGGGCACACACAACTACTTTAGTCAACGCAAGCAGAACTAGAAAATATTGTTGCCGCTATGCAATTCTCTACTTTCAGTGTAAGTTAAACAACACAGGAGTAAATACAAATTACAAAGTAAAGTAAAATAAAGTAAGGGATTTAAGTTGGTATCTTTAGTTTTAAAACCAATAAAATCTTGTTTTTAACACTTGCAATAGAATATTGAATTCAATTGCAGGCAAATGCGAGAACTGAATATGAAAGAAAGTTGCCTGAACAAAAATAAAAGATATGCATTTGTATTGGTATTTTTCATCTTTTGCTTTTTAGCAGAATCGTGACATCCAATTGGAATCAGCTGGAGTACATTCAATCCAATTGGTAGCTCGTGCTTTATCGCCAAACGTATTCTTAATTACACAATATGCTCATTGCGCATCGATCGAAAGTTGATTTTGTATTTGTGGCGACGAATGCACAGTTATAATTACTACCAATTATTCCTTGCATGAACCGTTTCGAGCAGGCTGTAATGATTCCAATATACCCTCGCATATTATCAATTTATCATTACGAACCCAATTTTAAACGTCTTGTCTCGTGAATAACATTTTCGCATATATGAGTATAAAATTGTCGGAAGCTTTTTAGTTGAAAATTAACTTCTTAGTAATTTGCTAAGGAGCACAACTTTTTGCAATTCTGGATAAGGAAATTAATGCTTAATAGAAATAATGAGAGCAAATGCTGTAAAAAAAATGATCAATCTTTGTTGCCAATATGCAAATCAGCCTGCATGCATGCATAATTCTTATTAATATGCATATGTATTAATGAGTACGCAAATCGCATTCACTCATTCTGCGCTTTGCTACTGCAAACTATCTGTTTACCACAAAAAAAAAAAAAAAAAAAAACTTCTTCAACAACACAATCAGCAGTAGCACCCTTGATAAGCGCTCTTAGCTCTGCGCTGTTGTGCCACTCGGTGTCGGTCCCCATGGACATTAGCTACTATGGACAGACATACAAACATACATTCATACATTTATCGATTAACAGTGACAGCACACTGACCTGTAGCAGGAAAAAAAAATTTGCACAGCTTGATTGATTTCTAGAAAATGTTAAATTGACAATAGCAAAAAAAAAAAACGCACACATTCAAAGGGTGGGGGAAAACAAAGTGCAAGAAATTGATAACGTGGATTGGGGTAAACAATGCAATGCCCAATCGCAGCTGAATCAATATATACATATATATATATATATACTGCAGTAGTGCGTGCGCAGTTAGCTGAAACAAGTAAATGAACTGCGACGACAACGAAGCTGGCAACGCTAGCACCCGGCAAGGCAACCGCAGCCAGTTTACTGCATTGCATACCTGTTAGTGGATAAGACGCATCACATTATTGGCTAATTACACAACACTAACAACATTTTTGCTCAAATCGGCGAAGACACTGAGAAAGAGAGAGAGAGAGAGAAGAAAATACAATATGCAAGACGACATTTAACAGTGGAGTGTTTAACGGCAACAACAACAACAACACAAGCAGCTGCGGACAATGACAAGGTTGCCACCTGTTCTGGGTTCTTTGATCCATTTCAATTTTATCATCGTAGGGTGGAGGGGGAGGGGACTGGCGTGGTCTTACAACAAAAACAATTCGCATTTTTCTTTGCGACTTAATCAAAATGCGCCACAAATTTCAATTGAAATATGCAACAACGAACGAGATGTCGCTCTACAATTGCGCGGAGTAGATGATGACGGCTGAGGGGGGTTTGGGGAGGATGGGGGCAAGGGCTTACAAAAATGTTGCCCGTTAAGTGGAGCATGGAGCAGATGAGCGTAGCGCACAGAAAAAAAAAAAATGTTAAAAATAAACCAAACGTGGGCAGTGTTGTATTAGAGGTGCGAGCAAGAGCGAGAGGGAGACAGACGAAAGGACGTTTCGTTTCTTAGTTTTGCTGTTGCGTATTTTCACATTCGGCTGCGCTACACTCAAACACACACACAAAAACACACGTACATATTTTGTTGTTGTCAATTAACGCATTTACTGCCAGGCAGCAAAAATAACAACTTCAATAAAAATACAAATTCATTTTTAACAGCAACAAAGACACAAAAAAAAAGAAAAAAAACATGGCAGCAAAATTTCACCACACAAAAAAAAGTACCAACTAGCAGCAGAGCGCGCTCTGGCTCCCCCCTGCCCCCCACCAATATTTGAGTTTTGTCTTCATCGACATCATCATCGTAATGAAAACTGCTGCTTAATGATGATCTATCATATTTACATAAATGCGTGTTTGGATAATTTGTGTGTGTGTGTGTTAGTGGGTGCGTTCAAGTGTAAATCGGTCGGTACACTTACATATTGATTTTACATTTTGTATTGATCCGTATATAGTTAATATAATTGCGATTTGCGCGCACGCACGACCGACAGTTTTCGCCATTTTGCTTGTTGTCCAAACCGCACACGACAATCGCACACGTCCGCAGTGACTGAAAAATAAAATATTAGTGGCAAACAAATGTTACCGCTTTCAATTCTATTTGCATTTTTATGCTCGCACAGTCTGGTCTCACTGACTTCCTCTAAGTTTCGTAATTGAAATGCGGTATTTTTTGTGCTGCCACTTTATTAATTTGAATTTCTTATTTTTTTTTGGTATTTTAATCGGTTAGAACTCAATTTATTTATTATCCTGTTATTGCTTTTGGTGTCCGTGTTCTTGGAGATTTCTTGATGTTCGATCTGTCTTGTATTATTTATCTATAGCCTTTTTTTTTAATATGAGAATATTGGTTTATATTTAAAAGCAGCTGCTTGGAATGTGAATATTTTGTACAGTTGACTTACGAAAAAGAATATCAAATGTGTCTGCTTGAAGCTGACAATAATTGCAAAATTCATTTAACATTTAAACTGTGCTTTCAGTTCAAATATAAAAAAATATTGTGTTCTTGGTATAAGAAACTGTAAACTAAAAATACTGAAGGTTAACATTTGACAACAGTTATTATGCGGTGCATAGTCGAGTAATCGTATTTCTTAAGAATTATACAATTAACTGTAATTTTTAATACGTTTTGAAATAAAGCCATACAAAAAGTTATTTTCATTTTATAGAATTTATTTTTATTGTGCCACGACAAGTTAAAGTTCAATTAACACAACTATCGATATTAATTGATAACTTTTAAATTGGCTATGCAGCACATTACTTTTTAAGAACATAGTCAAATAACAATATAAGTTTATTTATATTTGTTACTTATTTCTGTAGCATGCAGAAATCAAATCATCCATATTACTGATAACATCGATAAATGAATGTAAAAATATGAATGTAATGCATAACATGCTCTGGTTAAGCATAACAGCTGCATAACATTACTTACAGCTGCCACTCTGCTGTTATTGGTCAATCAAAGTGGGTCAGTTTAAAAGTCGCTGCTCTTTGCATTTTTTTAAATATTATTTTTATATATTTTTTGTAATATTTTTGAACATATGAAATAAAAGTGTTGTGTTTGGCACATGCTAAGCCATTGCGGCTGCCAACGTTTACCAATTGTCGATCCAATTGTGAAATGACAACACAAAATACAAAAGTGACGCCGTTGCCGGCAAATGCAGCCAGCCACACACAACGCGCGCTCTGCTATGTGTGTATTGTGTGTGTATATGAATGTGAGAGTGTGTGTGTGTGTAGCAATGTGCGCAAGATTAGATCACTTTTGTTGTTGTCGTTAGTGTTTGCCCAGATGCGAAAAAAGCTTGGTTTTAAGCTGTTTGTCTGTGCAATTCTTGGAATTGCATAATCAATGAATCTTTTTGGCCATTGCGTGTGCGTGTGAAATGCGTCTGCAACAGCTGCGACGGCTGCTGACTGCGCGCGCGTCATCTGTGTCTGTCTGTGTGTGTTAGTGTGTGTGTGTGGGCGTCAATGAAAGTGACACAAAACTTATAAATAAAAAGTAAACGAATGTGTTTTGATTGCCTCACCGATCAGCTGGTTGGACTTGTAATTAACTATTATTTGTTGTTGTCGTTCTTCTCGCTTTTGCTGCTGCTGTTGTTGTTGTTATTGTTGTTGCTTGTGCGCGCGCGCAACATTTTCTTAAATAAGTTACACAAAATGTTAGCCAACAACAATCGGCGCCCAATGCAATGTGCATGTGTGTGTGTGTGTGAGTGTATGTGTGTCAATTGTATATTTGGGCAATGCACTGTGCTTGACCTACATTGTTATATTGTATATAGATAAGTATATATATATATATATATATATGTATAACAGTTCTCTACATTTGTTATTTGTATATGGGCGTGCGAGGGAGAGTGAGAGCAACTTTTGTTTTCATTGCTCTCTCACTCGCACTCGCATGCTCAATTAGAGATGGACAAGCCAAAAAAGTATCACGAATATCAAACGGCGGCAATTCTGCTAATTAATCATTCGAATTGTCACATTTATTTTTTGTAGTGTCTGTTTATTTTTTTGTTTTTCAATTTTATTGAGAGTTCAACCATTAATATTTGGACAACACTGAAAAACGCCCTACACTCGTATATAAATACACACAGCAGTCGCAGCAGCAGAAGCAGTATAGATTTGCAAACAAAGCGAATTTCAATTGGCAATTGAATTTTGTACTTAGCATGAGAGCCCAACAGCATACATACATACACACACACACACACATATATATATATATATATATATACATATGTGTATAACAGTAAGTGAGCGCAACAGTGCGCCTTAACAGTTTGTTGACAGTATGCGCGCGCTCAGCAGTTCATGCGCCCACGATAAGATTTCATGCATGTGGATAAAAATGTCCAACAAGACGAATAATAAGCTGGCAAGCAGCAATAAACTTTTTAACAAAAAAGTGTAGATAAGATAAAAGACGCTTACACTGGCATATGCATGCATACAGAGAGACACATTAATGTGTTACACCTAAAATAAATGGGCACACAAAGTCCAAAACTAAATTCTAAAAGTGTAAATCAAATGTGGAACAACAACAGCATCCACAGCAACAGCAAAAAGCGAGGGTCGCAACTGATAATGATAATTGGGTGATAATAAGAATACTGATTGAGTTCCGCCTCGTTGGCCGATAAGCATGCGCTTTGCACTCTGCAGGCAGTGGAAAAAAAATGTATATATATTTTTTATATTTACCGTGGCTACAAACCGATTTGTCATTTTTTAATTCTATATGTTGAATTTTTGTGTGATTTAAATAATTTACATAATTGGATCATTTCAAATTGGGCAACTTTGGGCTTGTTAGTTTTGTGTTATGCAATTGCTCAAAAATGCAAAATGTCAATAACAAATTTGAAATTGATGTAAAATTTGCAAAATGATTTTACAGTTGTTGTTGTTGTTTTTTTTTTTAACGAAATCAATAAATTTAAAATACTTTAAAGTCAATACTAATTTTAATATTTAGAATTTAAATGTTAGCTACAAATGCAGGGCTAAGTACAGGGTAATAGTTAGTCGATCATTGCTGACTATCACATTTCTTATTATTTGTCTTAACAACAGCTGCTAAAATGGTCCAAGGGTCAAACGCACTATAAACGCCAAGTCAGCAGCAGCGGCACCGTCCAGGCAACAACAGGTTGTGAACATCTGAACAAGGACAACAAGAACAGGAACAACAACAATAATATCAATAGCAACAACAACCACAACAACAACAACAACTTCCCCTCCCCCACAACAGAGCAAGAGAGGCAGAGGGCGAAGACGCAGAATCGACCATGCACCATCGACGGAACGGTGATTGTCAGCCGCTGGTGGGCAATGGCGCCTGCAAGGATGCAACAGAATCACCGACAGCAACCGAAGCAACAATACCAGAAGCAGTGGCAGCAACAGCATCAGCAGCAGCATCAGCATCAGCAGGAGAAACAGCTCCGCTTAAGGCGGCCAACACGCTGCCGATGAGCTGTGGATGCTACTTCTCGCTGGCCTGTTCGATTGGATCGATGGGTTTGGCCTGCGGCAGTTTGTGGCAAATACCGAATACCACCGATCGCATCACGCTGCAGCGCGGTCTCTTTCTCACCTCACTGGGCTTCATCTATTTTGTCTCTCTCACCGATTTCTGCAACAAGTATCTGCTGGAGACGAAGCGGGGACAGCAATTTCGATACAAGTATCGGCTCATGATATCCGATGTCCTCGAAATAACCAACAAGTGAGCAAAGCCAACATATATATATATAAATGCAATATTTTATTTATTTAGATATATTTATACATAAGTTTTAATTATTCGGAAAAAATTAAAAAAAAAAAAAAAAAAATTTTTAAAAAAAAAAAGGGAAATAAAAAAAAAAAAAAAAATAAAAAAAAAAGCCCCCCCAAAAAAAAAAAAAAAAAAAAAAAAAAAAAAAAATAAAGGAAAAAAATATATATATATATATTTATATAATCAGTATGCACTCTTAACCTTCATTGTAATATTTATGGGTCTGCCTTTGGCCACATGCCACTGGCATTGAAATATCGTTGGTTGGCAGCCTTGACTCTGCTGTTCTCTCAATCATAATTGGCGATGCACTCACTCGTTTCACACTCGTTGATTCAATCATGCACTTATTCGAGTTCAGCTGAACAGTGGGCCAAGGTCAAGGATTCTCGCCAGCTGAGACAGAGAGGGAGAGCGAAAGAGAGAAGAAATACATACCTAGAACCCATCTGGTAATTGTACATTTCAATGGGTTTGTTCGTTGTCTACCTAGATCTATCTATCTATATGCATATATGTATATATAGTATTGATTATTATATATATATAATATTAATTCGAAACTTCCCTTGTTACGTGATCCAGCTAATTGCCGTGTAAAAGCAAACACAAAAACTAAAGAGGGAAAAAAAACACATTCCTATAGCAGAGAAACAATAGACCCCATCGAAATCGTCAATTGATGTTCGTTGAAACTGGTTCGGCTTTGCCCCGCACCGTCGGAACTGATCCACGTCCATCGAGTTTGTCGAGTGTTAATAAAACTGTGTGTAGAATTGCTTAGCGTGTTTTTAATGGAATCACTTTGCATCCTCCTTGCCGCATCCGACTCCGCCTCCACCTTTTCCCTATAGCCAATTATTACATGCTGTGCGCTTGGCTGGCGCAATCGTGAAAAAGTGACTAATACTGAAAATGTGTTACACAAAATGAGTTATACAATCCAGCCAGATCATGTGACAACCTCTTTGCCACTATCTTCAACTGAGACACTCAAGGGTGTACCTAGTTCTTTTTATCTTTATCTTTGTTTTTCGTTTTTCTTTTTTCTGTTTTTTAGTGAAGTGGGTGCCGAATTGTAATTTGAATTTAATTCAGTGTCAAACCCTGACTACGCCCATGGGGAAGCACTGTGAAGCAGTGTCTAAGCAAGATTGTTTTGTAGCTAATTGCAGCTGTTATATCTCAGTTCTAAGAGGCAACAAACAAATGAGTTTAGCTGAAATACCTGTTATACGAACATACTTCGAAATAAATATATTATATTCCGGATAATTGTTTAACAGATTAAAAACTATTCACAATCTTCTGAAAATTGTTCTAACTCGGTAACTTTTCATATAGCTTTAACTAATTAAAAATGGGCAAAAGTCAACTATAATGTATGTAAAAGTGTGTAACACGGCAAATGGAAGCATCTCCGACCCCATAAGCTATATATATATATACTTATATATACTCTTGATCAGCAGTCATAGTCGAAAACGTATTCGCATATGGATCTCGTTGGAATAGAATCTATTTAACAGCTGGGTTCTGTGTATATCGTAGTGAGTCTTTAACAAATAAATTTGTGCTGACTTAATTAAAGAACCTATTTATAAATATTATATAAGAGTGCCGTTATTTCATTGAGGGTGAATTGGTTAAAAGCAGCTCATCGAAATACCTGTATAAAATATATTTAGTGTCGTAAATATTGAATGTACACATAAATATATATTTATCTCAATCGATACGAAATTTGTGATATATAATATATATATATATATAAAAGACATAGTTGAATGACGCACGCGGTAATCAGTTACAATTATAATTAAGCCCTTTTGCGCGCCAAGTGGCCGATAGTAAAGCCCACCCTTAACCCCATTACTCACCCTCCACCCTAGCTTCAATGGACCTCAACGTATGTCTAATGAAGTGTATATATATTTGTGTGTGTGTGTGTGTGTCTGTGTGTGTCTGTGTGTGTAGATAAGCAGCACACACTGTGCTAAAACAATTGAGTAGCAAAAAGTGTATAATTGTGTACTATATATATATATATATTATGCTGATGTGTGCCTAGTTCCATTTACTAACGACTCATTGTGGGAATGATGATGGCAATTTGTGAGAGAGGACCTTGCACCTCACACCTCGCACCTTGACCAGCCTTGACTTTGATCATAAATCTAAATTAGACATAGTTGCGGCATTTTATTATTATTATTACTATTGCGTTTGTTGTTGTTGTTCTTGTTATTGTTGTTCTTGTTGCTGCCGCTGCTTCTTTGCCTTTGCATATATACACTGTATATAGAGAGACACACAGATGTATTTGATGTGCATTTGATTATTTGCGTGGCCCAGTAACCGCTTTTAATATTTAGCACAATTGCCATTGATTGTTAGGAATGTTAAATTAAATTGTGAATTATTCTTCGATCCGCATATCAACACTGGCCTGCCCATATTGACACCTAGCGCCATTCATTAGCAGCCATCGACAATGGACAATGGACAATGGACATTGGACAATGGGCAAACGACAAACGACAATCGACTGTGTTCAATGGCCGTTCGCAATTGAGACTAATGCGTATATTTCGATATGGGTTTGGCTACTGGACTAGTGGGGGGGACGGGCTGTGGAACGTCCAAGGTTGAACGAACAGTTAGCACGACATGTTTCTCTCCACACAAAAACCCATAAAACGGGAAACTTGGAGTCCAAACACCCAAAAAAAAATAAAAGGAGTGCCACAGACAATCAAAAAATGATAGAAATAAGAGATAGGCGAGGTAACCTTATGGCTCTGCATGCTTTCATAATTTCCAAAATAAAAAAAAATATATCATTTGCCAAGTTCCTATTAAGCAAGTGAGAATAGTGTAGTCGAGTGAGCTCGACTACAATATACACAATATTGCATATATATTCTAGTTTATGTCCAATTAAATATATTCAAGTTTTATTGCCAAATTGCCCTTTCAAATGGGCTCTTATTTCTTATGGCGACTGGACCACACAAGCCCGAACTAAAGTCAGCTTTTATTGCTATCTGAAATCGATATGTATCGTATTCTCGCAACTCGATAGTTATCGATAGCATAAAAGAAAGATGATTTGTTCCGGATATACGAGAGCTTAAAGTATTAGTAGCTGAGATCCGCCTGTTCATGCAGACGGACAAGGGTAGATCAATTCGGCTCTTAATTCAAATCAAAAAAATAATATATATATATATATATACTGCCAGTCGGACGCTAACATACTTTTGCACAAAACCATTACGCTTATTATCATGTTTTAATTTGCTCAGGGTATTCAAATTAGTATTTACCCCAAAATCAGATAGAACCCGGTAAAACTAACTGTCGAATTATATACCAATAAAATCAATTAATATAATACACAAAATCTGCATTGAGTGGAACGAAAATTTCCATTAGATTAATGGTTGGCGTTAGGAAAATAAATGATTTCCGACATGAATAATCATGAATTTCTATTTTACGCATTTGGAACTAGCTATTGATTATTTTGTTTGCTTTTACGTGTAATCTTTTGATTAAATCACTTCGAGTAGGTACAAAAGCACCCGGGAAATGAATTGTTATCAACAAATTTAAATGTTTGCTTAAATTAGGCAACTTTGCCAATGTCGATAATCATATGACACGCAAATACTAATCTCTAATCTTCTCTGCAACTTTAGTGGAAAAAATCTTCTTTCTTAGGGTATTCTAATTTTGTCGCATAGACGAAAAAGTTTCCGACCCGATAGATTATACATATATATATACATATCTTGATCAGCATCACTAGCAACTAATCGCAATATATTTTATAGCTGACTTTTTGTTTAACAATTATAACATATATCCCATAGGAAAAGTCTATCGAACGATAAGTTCCTGTATGAAATAGTTTTTTGTTTATCACGAATCCGATCCAAGCTTATCCCATATGCGGTTTGATCGAAAACCATCGAGATCAGACTACTATATTATGTCGCACGATTGATCAAAACTTAAAAAACTTATTCTTTTACCAAGATATGCAAATCAAACTTACTCAATATAAACATTTCGAAGAAAAATCATTGAGATCAGACTATTATATATATTATATAGCTTAAAGATGAGGTTATTATTTTCATCTGTATCAAATCGAGTGAAATTTGGATGACGGAAATTTGACTGTGGTCTAGGGTCACGGGTCACTGGTCAAGGGTATGTAAACTTCGGCGTGCCTAAGATGGGCGTTCTTTCGTTAGTCGTTAGTCGTTAGTAGTTATGTCGTTATGTCATAATGGTGTAGTTATATTCGCGAAGCACAATACAACGCAACCCATGGCACTCCAACGCACCCGCCATTTGTTTGGGGATTGTCTTGAAATAGTCCTGGCTTTGGCCTTGTATAAGTTGACGCCTTGTTGTGGCCTTATCCTCGGACTGACCCTGACCTTTTAATGACCAAGCCAATTATTCATTGTAAATGAAGTCATCATATACATCATATATACATATAGATGTGCATGTGCCAAGTCGTTAGACATTCGTAGTTATATCAGAATTGTTTGGTTTTCTAATTTAATTAAGGCCAATTTGTGATTTCAACTTTACTTTTGAATTTAATCGAATATAAATTGTGTTCAATTGGTAACGCTAACATTGCAACTGCTGCAACAAGTGCGCTGTTGCGCCTTAGGTGCGGCTCTTCTTCTTACTTGGATGCGATTTACACTTGAGTTTCTTCTTTGACGCTGCCAAATCACAGACACGTTTGCTGTTGCTGTTGCTGTTGTCGCTGTTGCTCTGTTTCTGGCAGCAACTGTTGTTGTTGCTGTCGCTGTTGCCCAGCTGAATGCCAGTCTCAACATCCTCATAGGTAACAGCTGCAATTCGGGGCGATTCAGTGGCTTCAGCAGCAACTGTTGCTGTTGCTGCGTTTGCGGCACCAGCGCTCACTCGTATTGGTGCATGAAAGCAAATGCTGGCACCACCCACAGCAGTTAATCGTGTCACAGTTGGCTGATAATCGATTAGAACGGGCCGTGGAATAAGCTGCTGTTTGTGTTCCTCTGCCAGCAACAGTTGCTGACGTTGCATCTCGATCAGCTGTTGTTGCCGCTGTATCAGTTGCTGTTGGTCCTGCAGCACTTGCATTTGCTGCGGCTGCTGCTGCTGTTGGTGTTGTAGTTGTAGTTGTTGATGCTGTTGCTGTTGCTGCAACTGTTGTTGCAACCGTTGCCATTGCGCAACATCAGTGCGCTTACTGCGCTGTTGCATCGGCGGCATTGGATGATTTTTGAGTTGCTTAACAAACGGCAAATACTTGGCATTCACAACAATTGGCGGTGGATTCGGTGTTTCCATCTCCATCTCCGTTTCCGTTTCAGAATCGAATTTCACATCACTATTGCTGTTGGCAGGCGACTGTTGTTTCAGCTGTTGCTGTTGCTCTTGCTCTTGCTCCTCCTCCTCATCAGTTGTTGTGCTCTGCGTCGACTGCGCCTTCTTGTTGCTGCGACGCCCTGTTGTTGCTGCTGTTGCCGGATTTAAGCGCCGCACCATCGGACGATATAAATAGCGTACAATTGGTGGTTTCCTGCCGCGCGTCGCAGACGTATTGACAAAATACTGATAGCTTATATCGATGCCATCTTCTACGGTTTTGGGCACCTTATGCTGATCTACGCGAATTATTTTTGACATTACAGCAGCAGCAGCAGCAGTTGCAACTTTTGTTGTTGCTTTCGTTTTTTGTGCTTGTTGTTGCTGTTGTTGATGTTGTTGATGTTGCAGGTGTGTTTCTTTCATTTGTTTGGATTGCTGTTTGACTGGCAAACGTTTGGGCAACAATTGCTGCGGCTGCGGCTGCGCCTGCTGCTGCTGCGTCTTTGTTTGCCTCTTTGCAGCAACTGTTGCTGCTGGTGTTGCATCCGGCATTATTTGAATAACTGTTGATGTTAGCTTAAGAGACTTGTTAATGCCAGCAACGACAAGTGGCGTATCATATGATTGACTTTTTGACCAATTGCCGCTGCCGCTGCTGCTGCCGCTAATGCCAATTGTTGTTCCATTGCTAATGTTTGTGCAATTCGTGGACAATGCGCTAATTTCACTGTTGTCGACGGACGCCATCTGCTTAACGCCGTCCGTCTGCAACAGCAAAGTCTTTGACGCCTGTTGCTGCTGCTGTTGTTGCCGTTGTTGCTGTTGCTGCTGCTGTCGCAGCGATCGCTTGCGCTTGGGCTGCAGCTGGCTAAGCTGCGCCTGCTTCAGCTCATCCGCCAGCAGTATACGCTGGCTGGGCACCAAAAATACACGCGATTGCTTGCTGACCAGCAATTGTTGTTGTTGATGCTTGGAGCTGGTTTTTGTGTTGAGATTTGGCCAGGAGGTCTTCACACATAGCTGCTGCATCTGCTGATTGCTGGTCGCCGTCTTTGCATTGTGCATTGTATCCAACGAGGATTCGCTCGATTGCCTAAAATTGCTCTGTGGCAACAGCAACCATTTTGTTGGCATCGCTGCCTCGATGCGTCTTCTGCTGCAGCTGTCCCTGTTGGCTGGTGTGTTGCTGCTGTTGCACTTTGTTCCAATTGCTTCGTTGCGATTGTGGCGTCGATTGCGTTGATTGCTCGCCATTGCATTGACTTTTGTTGCTGCTGATGCTGCTGCTGCTGTTGTTGTGTTTGTTGTTGTTGTTGCTTGTGCTCTTTTGGCAACCCGTTTGATTCCATTGGCTGATGTTGCCGGTGGGTTTCGTGCTCCGACAGCTATCTTCTTTGTCAGCTCATCTAAACCAATGGGCATTTTTGTTGCTGCTGCCGTTGCTTTCTTGGGCTGTTGCAAGCGTCGTTTGCCAATGTTTCTTGGTGGCTCCGCTGCTAGTTGGTTGCGCATTATGGCGCCATAACGTGCAAATGCACCCTCACCTCCGGCACCCAGTGCCATCGAACCGTGGAACACATTCGTCTCCAAGCCCCGAGCACCGGCAAAGAATTTTGACTTTTCCAAAGACATTCTGCTGCTAGCCCTATTTGCCTATACAAAATTTGTAACTGTGTCTTCCAATAGTATTCCAAATAGTTGTTTTTTTTTTTGTAGAATTTTCAGTAATTTAAAGCCCATCTGAAGTTTTGTTGTGCTCATTTTTTTCGACACTTACACATTGCCGGAACTGTTGTCTTTATTTGTGTTCAAGGTCTACTGCGATGCGAACTTTATGAGACAGAAAAACAGCTCTGTTCTATTTATTATAAATAAATATATATATATTTTGACCTCATTGAACCCACCGATTACAAAAGCTAACAATAATTAAATAAATATTGTATTACTAAATTCCGAATGAGGTATTGAATTTATATACAGCTCCAGCTCCGATTATCTGTATTTTTATGGCGCTAATTTACCATATACAGATGCAAAAGATTGGCACTTATCAATTGCTTGCAGTTGATCAGATAAAGCAACCCATGCGTATCTCAGCAAGTTACACACACAAACAAAAGTCAGCTAATACAAATTTGTATTATTTTTTTGTTTTTGTTTTATTTTTTTGTTTGGAAAAAGCTAAGAGCAACAAAATTATTCGAAAAATGTGCAACGACTGCTGCTGTAGCCAAATGAGAAAATGCTGCCAATGTCAGCCGCAAGTGGAGAAGCTGCGCAGCGTGGATGAGTATCGTTGGTTCCAGCGCTGCCCCATCGATGTCTCTCCCAAGTGTGATGCTGAGGGTGGGGCACATCAATGCGAATGCATCTGTCGCCGCAATCGTCATATTATCGAGGCATTGAGCTGTCTATTCAAATGCTCCATACAATATATGCTATCGGTCCTGTTCAAGCTCGCCTATCAAATTTATCAGCAGCCCCTCAAGCGATATCCCCGCGATCGTGTCTGGAGTGTGATGAGGCACGTCAAGGCACCCTATACGGAGCTCAACGATTTGGAGATATATGATAGTATGTACGATCGATGCGGTATGCCAATTGATCCCCTTGACAAGGATAATATATTGAAGATAGTGCGCATGATGTTCCTAATATCGGTGCTAACCTTTGATCAGCAAAAATATTTGTTGCATATGCTCAACCGTCTGAATGCTCATGCTCACTGTCCCGTTGAAGTGGAGTTTTTGCTGAGGACACTCAAAAGCATTGAACTGAGGCAGCTGGTGTGCAGTCTACGCAACCAGGAGGCACTCACCCAACGCCTCTACACATCGCGTCAATGCAGTGACCTCTGCGGTCTCTATACCAAAGTGGCAACCGTCGATAAGTATGCGATTGCCCGCCATCGCAGTCGACGAGATCGCATCAAAAATAAGCGGAATGTGGCCAGAAGTAGTCATGCCGAGAGTCTGGCTGCTTCATCTGCCCGCCAATCCGCAGTGATTCGACAGTTTTGCGAACGCAAAGCGAGACCGTCCAGCGATATGGGTGGCAATCACATCTATAGCCACAACATGCGGCACAAACAATTGTCGTTCTAGTTCCTCCTCCATTCTAGATGCACATTTTTCATTTTGTTGTTACTTAAGCGCACTCACTATAAACTATATATTTCAGAAAGTATATATCGAGAAACTGGGCGTTTTCTTTTCTTAATTTCAGAGTACATTTTTCGAAAATAATGCCTTATTCTCAGAATGATTTTTCATATATAAACTAAAAATAGCTTTTTTGTTATTAATAATGTTTTCTGGAAATTACTTGGAAATTATTTCTAAATCAGCGAATTACATTTTTCTGAGTGTGTTACAACATAAATTGAGCGAATTTAAGATATATTTATGGACTAAGAAGTCGCCTAACTAAACTGGGTGTATATAGAAGCGATCTGTGCAGATTTTGTTAGGAGAGGAGAGGAGGAATCCTCGATGCACATCCTAGTAGAATGTGTCGCCTTAACTAGAAGAAGATGCAGCATCCTAGGGATACATGGAAGACCTCAACCCAACAAAGATTCTCACATTCGTGCTGGCTCAGAAGGGGGCACAATAGATCGAGTAATAAGATATATTTAGAATGTGGAATATGTTCCACTTTGGAACTGTTAAAAAAAATCCCTTTTTGCCCGTTTTCAAGTGTGTATTTTGTGTATATTTGTTATAGAAATCCAAACTGGAATTCAATTTATACAATGCTGGAGACACGGATGAACTTATAATTGACAGAAAGTTTATTAAGATATGTATTTAAAACTCGTTAAATTGGTCAGAACTTGCGCGCATAGAAAAGAACAGAAAGACACTTTTGTCGCATTTGTTGCTCCCGCAGACCCTTGTGGGTGGCTTCAATGACCAGCGGCTCTGCGGGCAGACGACGCAAACAGCAGGCACGTCTCGGATAATAATTTTCGCCATGCAACACATCGTGTGGATAGCATGGATATGCCTCGTTGTTCCTGTTAGTTTGACGACAGATGTTGCAGCCAGCCAAGGATGTTGATGTTGCTGGTGTTGCTGGTGTTGCTGGTGTCAAGTTGTCGTCATGTTTATGCCGCCGCCTATCAATGATTTTGGTAAGCATGAGTGGCACATCGGTTGTCGTCGTGCCGCCGCCCACTTCTCGCGGCTCGCTGCACGTCACGTTGCGTGTGTGCTCGCAATATGTCCTGAAATCCAGCTCGGAAACCAGCGTCACCGGCGGTGGCATGTAACGATCACTGTCATTTGTCGTTCTTCCCATTCGTATGTTTGGAAAATCTCTGCTCCTTGAGAATAGCTGAGAATTCATTGGCAAGCGACTCTCCTCCAGGTGTTGCTCGTGCTTCGTTTTGGCCCGTGTCGACAGACGATCATTATTCGTTGCCATTTCCTTGTTGGACGGCACCTTGTGGCAGGTATTGTCGCCGCTCGATGTGCTAGGCACGGCAAACAGCGACAGCACCTTCTCCCTGTTGCCCAGATGGCTCATGGGTCGTGTTGGAATTGTTGTTGCTGCTATTGCTGCTGATCCTGCTCTTGGTCTCGCTGCCATCTCTTCGTCGCGGCGAAGTTGTTGATGGTGATTGAGTGCCTGACCTGGCACGGCATTGTGCACAGTACTTGCGCGCATTATGACGGGGCGCCTCAATCCCGCCTGCAGTGTATAGCTGGCCGGTGTGCCAGGTTCCGAGTAGCCATCATCACGACTGGAACTCAATTGATTTGGATTTACGGACATCTGTGACTGCAGCCGGGGCACAAAGTTCACGTGACGCCCATCGTTGGCCTGTCTCACTGCATTGTTCACCGTTTTTGCAGTGGATTTCAGTATGGAGCATGGTTGTGTTGAACGCTGCTGGTTGCTGGTAGCCTTGTTGGCCGATGGCACTGGTTGTTCGCTGTTGTAGTCATCAAGGGGACTGCTCGAACGTGGATGTCTGCTCTTGTTCGATGGACAGCCAAAGGATTCGCTGAAGGCATTATAGAAATTCTCAAAAACTTGCTGCTTGCTACGCTTGGCAGCCATGCCTCTTGTTACGCCCCGATTGGCCTGCATGGCCACATCAGTAGCAGTAGATGGGAAAGCTATTCTAGCCTGTGAGCGTCTTCGGTGATGCTCGACTTGTTGCTCAGCTGCCAGTTTGTGTTCGCTGTCCGCTTGTGGCTGTCGAAACCTATGTCTTAATTCAGTACCAACATCATCCTGCTCGGCCTCGTCTCTCAGATTCCAGGGCGTGGCATAGCTCTTCGCCTTCAACCTACTCTTCTTGATAGGGCTCCTATTGCAATGGCTGCACTTACTCAATGGACTCAATGGATTCTCGCCTAGGGTCTTGGCCAACTGGTGCGATACACTTGGGCCAGTCGGGCGTTGTTCGTCGTCTCGAAACTGCATATCGCAGCCGGAACGAGAGCGGCCGCTGCTGACTTCATCACTATAATGTGTTGACAGATAGTTATCGTTATCGTTATCGATCTCTCTATTGTATCGTTTTTGAAAGTTTCTCTCTAGCCTCGACTGATCCGTGTGTATTTGTATGGGTCGATCGTAACGCTGCTGTGCCAGCAACTGGTTCTGCTCCTGCTGCTGCTTCTCTTTCTGTTGATTGTCCGGCTCATCGGCCAACATTGGCTGCATCATTGGGAGGCGTTGCCATTGCTGGCTCCGATGCGGACACAGCACTCGAGATGGCGGCGGCGGCTCCGGGCGACGTGTGCGCAGAGAGCACTGCATTTTCACGTGTGGCACCCGCATCTTGATCTTTGGCGCCGTCGCCTCGCGCATTCTCAACAGCTGCTCATTGATGGGTGGCTTGCGTGTAAAGAGCTTGGGCAACATGCTGCTCGGGACCGATCTCTGTGACTTTGACGGCGCCTGACTGGCGTCAAGCGAGTTCTGCGACGGATGGTTCACCGTAAAACAGGTGATATTTGCCACCTGCTCCGCCGTATCTATGGAGGTGTCATCACTTGGATATCGCTGCAAGTCACGTTTGTTATACATGCTATCCACGCCATGCAATTCCTGCTCAAAACCATGTTGCGAGCGACGTCCACTTGCCACATTCAGTTGTACAACATTGGAGCTAACTTGGTCCATTCCAGGTTCATCCAGGTAATTGGATTGCTGAACAGTGTTGCAAGTCGAGCCATGTCGCATCGCAGATACGTCGTTGTCTGATGCCTGCCTGCCGTTTTCTGAGCTTCTCGATGCACAGCATCTAGCAGAGCCAGCAGAGCTGTTTGGATTCCTCGCAGTTCCATAGGAACGCTCGTAGCTACGTGATCCATTTGTCTGCCAGTCGGCTTCATCGTAGGAGTATTCCCTGCTGCAGCTAAAGTCATTGTTATTGCGCTCATAATCCGAAGTAATGCTTTCATCCGATTCTTGTGTCTGCTGTCTGCATCTGGATGTCAACTCCAATCGATTGTTGCGGGGCATGGACAGCTGATCGATCTCAAGGAACGGCGAGTTCCTATTGCTTTTGCGTCGCTTTCGCGTCACTGGACTCGTGCTGCGAGTTCTGGCTGGGTCTGCAGGCGGCTGCGTGTCACTGTTGCGATACCGATCAGCGAAGGTGACCCTGCCACGCTTGGACTGTCGTATTTTGGCCCGCTTCCGGGCCACCAAACGCATTAGCTCTGCGTAATCGGAACCGGGTGCATAGCTTCGTTTCATTTTGCCTTTGCGGCAAACTGGGGCTGCTCGACTCACCATCGTATTGGCCAATCCGGCCACAATCTCCGTCGCTGGACCATCTTTCAGCTGCGTCTCAGCGGTAATCGGTTCTATCACAGGAAACCGGCCTGCAACGGTATTGTGCTCCACGTTCTCCAAGCATATTTGCTCTGTTTGCATCTGTATGCTGTCTAAGCTATTTTTTGCTTCTGATTCTGTTGCTTGCCACTGGTTGCTGTGCATGCAACACATTGAGTGGAAGCGAATAGGCGTGCAACTGTTGTCCGTTGCAGCCTGTGCTGTCTTCCAGTCTGGTTCCCGTTGCCAATTGCCGCGTTTCGGTTGCCGCGAGAAGAACATGGGCTCCGCAACGTTCTGCCGATGGTTGGGCTGATTGGTCAGTGCCGGTTGTTGTCGTGCTTGCACCAGTGTCTCATACGCCGTTGACTTCCGCTGCAGCGTGCTAAAGTTGTAGAGCAGATGACGTCCTGGCTGCATGACACGCTTGCACAGACCCGCCATGCTGCCCAAAATACCATTTCGCTTGCTTGGCGTCTTAATCGCTGCCCGACGTCCCAGTCGCGTCTGCTTCGCCAATGGGCCCGACAACATGCCGGCAGGCTTGGCTTCCTTGACTTCCTTGACTTCCTTGACTTCCTTGACTTCCTTGGCTTCCTTGACTTCCTTGGCTTCCTTGCCTTCCTTGACTTCCTTGACTTCCGGCTGTGGCTCTGGTTCTGGCTGGCTGCTGAGCTCATGTTGATTGGTTTCGATTTCTATTTTTGCTGCTGTTCCCGCATCTTCTTCACGGCTTGGACAACTGTCATCTGTACAAGCTACAATTTGCGCTCCGTCCATCTGAGAGTTGACACCAACGACGTCTTTCGCCAAGCATTCGTTCTGATCGCACAGATCTCTGGTGCAGTCCGCCATCGTCAAGACTTGCTCACAATTGTTTCGCTCGCATTCCACCCGGTCACACTGGCTGTTGCTCTCAGCAACGCTCAGCAACGAACAGTCGCAAACATCCTCCGACTCCTGCTGCTGCTGTTGCTGCTGCTGGCTCCGCTGCCGCCTCTGTCTGTGCAGTTCATCGGCTGGATGCTGTTCGGCACAAGCAACCTTGACGGTTGGCTTGCTGCTGCTGCTGCTGCTGCAGTAGCGTCTGCGCACGCCGTACAGCGGATAGCGTTCACTCATCCCATCCTCGTAGCTCTTGAGCAGCCTGTAAAACTCGGGCGAAATGCGGCGATATCTTGCCGGATCGAGTCGCCGCCGATGTTGCGTGTTGCCGCGCAAATTGGATCTATTGCGCAGGCGCATCAGTGACGACTCCATCCGGCAACGCAGTGCCTGGCGGCACTCCTCGCCCATCGGCTGTCCGTCCGCCTGAAAGTTGCAGGCGCATGACTTGAGACTGCATTGGCGATGCTCCGTGGAGTGACCGTTTGTGGGCTGCGAAAGCTGTTGCTGCTGCTGCGGATGTTGTTGTTGCGGCTGTTGTTGCTGCTGCTGTTGCTGCTGCTGCGGCTGCTGTTGCTGCTGTTGTTGCTGCTGTTGCTGCTGCTGCTGTTGCTGCTGTTGTTGGTGCTGTTGCTGCTGCTGCTGTTGCTGTTGCTGCTGTTGCTGCTGCAGTTGCTGCTGCTGTTGCTGCTGCAGTTGCTGCAGTTGCTGCTGCTGTTGTTCTTGTGCCATCTCATTGTCGGCCTGCCTTGCCGGGACCATTGGTTCGGTGTAGCCGCCCTGACGCCGCTGCCGCTGCCGTCGCTGTCGCTGCAGCAATAAGCGACGCCTGCGCAGCTCCTGGCAATAATCTAAATACTGTCCACTATGCTGCAAGTTGGCCTCATTGCCACAGCCACAGCGCCGGCAATCGCAGCCATAGCCGATTAGTGCTGGCCACTCGTCCGTTTGCCGCTTGGCCAGCTGCTGCTCCTCCGGCGACACAGTGTCGAGAAAGATCTTCTGTTTGCGAAACCATTCCGTTGCCAGATCCGGCACCAGCAATCGTTCCCCTTTCCGTTCGTGCGACAACAGACGCTCGAACATCAGCTGACCCGACGGTGCCCGTCGTCGTTGCGGGTACAACGGCGATGCACATCTGCAGACCTTGTTGTGCCCCATGTTTAGCGTCGATTTGCGTCTGATGATGTCAACGTCAACGCCATTGCATGGCGGATAGTTATCCATACGCTTCGCCATAAACAGCTCCTGGCCGCTTGGATCATCATCCACATCCTCAAATTCCACACTCGCTGAATTCATCTTTTCGTTGTTGTTGTTGTTCTTGTTGTTGTTGTTGCTGTTGTTGCTGTGTTTGCTGGCCGCCGAGCTTGTTGCAATTAAATGCTGACTATTGCATATTATAAAGCCCTCAACGCTGAGGGCGCTCGTCTTTGGATTTGCACTCACTGCTAATTTTGGAAATATGCCGAAACTACAATAAACTCAATTTTGGAGCTGGAAATTCTCCTTCGAATTAATAAAAATAATATATTACTTTAAAGTCAAAAGCTATGCGTTCAACAACTTAACAATATTAATTATTGTTTATTATTTATTATTTGTTGTTGTTTTCACAATTGGCTGCAGTTTGCAGTCATTTAAGTTTATTATTATAATGATTTACAATTGTACAACAATGGAACATAATTAACAATTTGATTTTATTATATTATTAATATTATTATATTAAATTTTAATTAAAGTTTATTTGAAATTTACTTCAACATTGTGCAAATAATTGTTGTTTTCTTGGGATCTTAAATCAGTTCAGCTTAAAGTGCCAAGTTGTCTTTGTCTCTTATTTACTTTACAATCTCTCTCTCTCTCTATCAATCTATCTATCTCTCTCTCTATCTCTCTATCTATCTGACTGTACCAGATAATCTTTAATTCAAAAATTTGAAGTCGCATGAAGGAGTATCCCTTATCGAATACCTTCAATTTGTACATCTCTTTCTAATTTCGAAAAGACTTGCTGCAAGTCTTAAAGGGAATATCATTTCCTGTTTTGAAATGCGTTTGTAGAACAATATTCTCCATCGGAGATTACCCTTTGTAGAACTTTTCCAGCTTCTTCTGCTTATTCATTAGTTAAACGAAAATCGTTTCAGTTGAAAAATTGAAAACAACATTTAATTATTTAATAAATAATAAAGACGTTGAAGCAAACAATTAAATGAAGCATAAAAAAATTGAAAAACTAAAAGTTAATTGATAACTGCTCCAATTTCTATTTTTCTAAATGAAAGTCAAAACAAATTTAACATGAAATGTTTTATTGGGAAATTAGCCAAGTTCATTTTTTTAACCTCAAAGAAATAAAATAAAATAAATTAAAATAAAACCAAAAATATCTGGTTAATTTGTTGTGCATATTTAAATACATTTTTTAAATGTTTTTTTATATATAAATAAATAAAAATCAACTAGAGTTTGAATAAGGAACAATCGGTTGTAAACTGAATTGTTATCGGTAGAAGAATAAATTGATTGTATTTATCTATATATATATATATATATATATACATGTATATATATATATGTCTGTAAGGATTTCAAATCCTCGACTGTCGTACAAATTGTACCCTTTATGACCATTAACTGAGCATACAATATATATATATCGAAATGCTGCACAAAAACTAATTGCGATTTGTTATTGTTGTTGTTGTTCCCTTTTCAGAATCGTTTCGGCAATTCAGGCATCGTTCTCGTTCCTGGTTGGGCTCATCGTGTGCAAGTCGACATGCAGCAAATCGTTTGTTTATGCCTCACACTTTCTAATGGAGGCGTACGGTTGGTTTGGCACCGCCTACTTTATGTATGACATTTGGTCGATGTACAAGGTGCACACGCAGAAGATTGCCGACAAGCTGCACTTACTCCGTTTGACCAAGTCGCAGCCATTTAGCAACGGACATGCCCGAAGCTATTATGATAAGGCCGGTGGTCGATCTATGCCCGATTTGCGTACGGGTAACAACAATGGCAGCACGCCGAGCACACCTCACGAGATCTGCGACTATGATGGCGCCACTGTCCAGATACCCAAGGACGGACGTTGGGATTTCTTAAAGTATGTGCTGACGCATCCGGTCATGATGATACATCACGTATTCATTGGCACCTTCGGACTGCTCGTGGTCACGGTGAGTGCTGTGTATTTGTGATACATTCATACATTTTACTAATTCTCATTGATTTTGCAGTATATACGCGGCGGTGGTCATTGCATCTATAGCTACATGTTCATGATGGAGTTCTCCACGCCATTTGTATCGATGCGCAGCATTCTGAGCACAATGAAACTGAAGGATTCGCGCACATACATTGTCAACGGGCTGCTCATGCTGGCCACATTCTTTGTGTGTCGCGTCTGCATGTGGCCGTATGTTATGTGGCGCTATAGCCTGGCCATTGATGCCGCAACCATGTGGGCGGCGATGAGCGGTCTGCCACGCGGTTGTCTCATCAGCATTGCCATTCTATTCTTGCCGCAACTCTACTGGTTTTATCTGATGGTCATGGGTGCTCTCAAGGTATGCCCTGACTCCCTCCTTCTCTCTCCCTCATCCCCTCTCTTCCTCACTTATTACTCGCTCTCTTTCATTTTGATTTGATATTGCACTATTTGCATTTGACTCTTTCACTCACATCGATGTCTTATTTTTTCCTCCTGTTTTAGGTGTTTCTGCCGAAGCGACGGAAGCGCTCATCTGCGTTGAGTAATGAGATAGTGCCGAATGCCCTTACGGCCACGCCCACCGCCACAATTAATGGCATCAATTAGTGCAAATTGTCAACCGTTTGTTAAAGTTTACGAGACGGGCTCGTCGGACCGCCCTTCAGCATAGCTTTTACCACTATATTTATATATATATATATATATATATGTGTGTATATTTCTATATATATATATATATATTTCTTTTTTTTTATTCATTTTGATTTTGAGGCACATGCATTTGCCTATTGTTTACACATATTTAACAACTACAATTAATTTGAAAGTTATTTGCCAGCACAAAGCTGCCTTTTAGGCGGCTAACAATAATTGTGCATTTGTTTGGGCACCTAACTCTCCCTCTCTCTTTCTCTCTATCTCTATCTCTGTTTCTTTCTATTTAAGAGCACAAACCACACAAAGACAAGAAATAACAATCAAACAAACAAAACAGGCAGACAGGCGTAGCCAAACAATTGTTTTAGTTATTAATATTCTTACTTTTAAAAACACTTACTAAAAGCCACCCAAAAAAAAAAAAAAACAAAAAAAAAACTAAATATGAACAACAAAATACGAATAAAACATGGAGAAAAGAAATTTAAAAAAAAAAAAACAACAAAAACAACTGCTTAATTTGAAAGCAAAAGAACCTATAAGCAAAACAAAGAGTATATGTTGTATTCGACTATTGAACAAAAAGCTATCGCTATATAATCGACAAAAAAGAAACTTGTTATTGCCAATATATCGATGTATTATATAATAATGTTTAGTGCCCGCTTTCTTATGTGCCTGCTAATGTTCCTCTAAGTGGACAGCATTAATTGTTACAAAGCTGACAAAAGGATTCCACGTCCTTGTCTCTGTCCAAAAACCAGATTGTCAACTTTACCAGCGAGCTGAAGAAAGCGTGCATGTTTTATATATTATTATTATTTTTTTTTTTTGGAAATTATAGAAATCTTGGCATGCCGAAGATTGAATACGTTTGCAGTTTTGATTTGATTGGGCGCATTATTATCTATGTATGAGAGATACTCTATTGAAATCGGATGAAATATATCAAATATTTGAAAAGGGCATATACGAAAATGTGATAAGACAAATTGAAATTCAGAGATCAGAGTATAATGAAAATAGCTGCGAGAGTCGTTTAAATAATTTATATGTCTATGTACAATACATGCTCGAGATCCTTCCACAATGATCCTGGGCTTGTCAATCCGTATTAATTGATACCTATCAAATAGCTTTTGGGTGTACTTCCGCGTTTCCACAACACAAATATGTAATTTTTTTTTTATATATTTTATAGTCGGGTTTTTCTTTATAGAAATATATTTTTGGTTTAGCCTCGAATTCCAATTGAGCTTCGAAATCCAAGCGATTATTTTAATGAGCACAAATGAGTTAACTATATAAATAATATACAAGAATATATATATATTTATCGTACGTATTTGATAAGTAGTCAAATTGAAAAAAAAAACCAACAATGCGGCAAAAGAAATACAAATAGTGAAAGAGAACACAAAAACAAACAACAAAAAAAAAAAAAATAAATAAATCATCAACAAATGCTTCAAAAATGTTGCCTTGAGAGGTGCGCTTATTGTTCCACGTTGCTGCAACAAAAGAGGAGATATAAACATATATATATATATATATATATATATACAAAAATATATATTAATATATTATAATCTATCCAATATACCAAGCCATATATATATTGTATTAAATGTATGTAATTTTTTTTGTGAGACACTGAGAAAATCGAGGGCAGCCCTCGTCATATTTACAACAAATCAAAACGATAACACTAAACACTAAAAAGGCGAAGAAAACAAATTGATTTATGCTTATGATAACAATAATTTGTTTGATACAAATTTGGATGTTAATATATGGTTGTATTGCTTGTATTCCTGTTCTGTTCGAAATCGGTATTCATCGAACGTGAAACTGAATTCTAAATGAATATAATATTCGAGACATTGAATCAAAAGCAACGATTACATAAATCTAAATAGACTTTGTACATATGCACTTAAACATATTTTTAAATTCTTTGAAAATATTATGAGGCAATGCATTAGTTGGAAATAGCCAAAAACTGCAAAAAGAAATATAAAAACCGTTCGGTTTTTAACTTTGGTATTTTAACAGAGTTTAATTAAGTTCGAGCTTAATATAATATCATATAATGAGTCTGTCAAGTCTTTTCATTTTCGGCTAGCCGAATATTGTTTTGCTTTCCATTAATTTGCGAATTTCTTTGTTTGTTTTTTTTTTTTTTGAGAAATTGTTTTACATTTATTTTAGAAGTACGACTTAAGTGTGAGCATGAAATAAAGTTTTGTTTAATGTCTCCAAGTGCCAAAATTGTCTTCTTCATCGTCTTTACCAGCTAGGTTTCTTGCCTGTGGGCATGTCCATGTCACCACTACCACCAGCACCGCCTCCACCTTCATCGTCGCTGCGATCGGCACGTTTGCGTTTCTTTTGATGCTCCTCGACCAGCTCCGAGATGCGTATATTGTTGCCGCTCATTTGCAGCCAGTTGATGTACTAAATGTAAGCGATGTAACGATTAGTGTGAGCAGTAGAAGTAGAATGCACATTTTTGGGACACATTTACCAGGGTATTGGTGCGGACGCCGGCATCGTGCAGCTTAGCCTCAATGTTGTCTAGCCGGTGGTCCGGCTTGCTGTCAGCGTCGTTCTTCGATATGTCGAGCAGGTGCCGGACGCGTTGGCGCAGCGTCTCGAAGATTATGCGGCCAATGACATGGTTGCGATCGTACGGCGTCAGGTAGCATCCGAACTCGTAGAAAAACGGATGCAGCCGGCCCAGTTCGATGTGTGTGGTCTCTGCCTCGCAGACGGCCTTGTGCACGTTCTTGTAGATATCGGGCAGGGCTATCGTGAAATATGCATTATTCACTTTCAGCTCCTTGATGTACCACAGCGGCAGATTGATGGTGCGACCGGGTTCCAAATCTTCCGTTTCAGCGCCGGCATCCAAAAAGCCTGAAAGGTGAGAAAGTGGGAAATTACAGCGGGACAACGACAAAATTGTTTATATTCTGATGTACCCATGCGCTGTAGGCGTGTATTGACCTTGCACTCAACCTTTTCCTGGGTCACGAATATGTCTTCAATTGAATAATAATTTGGAAAATAATTCATCGTTGACAAATAAAAACAGCTGCTTTTGTGTTTTAGCGCCAAATCTGGTTTGTTAGTAAACAGAGCTCTGTTAGCGCATGCTTGAGCTGATTGAAGTTGGCTGCGAACACAGAAAATTGTCATCGAATCTACACAGCGATAGTTTGAGCATCGTTTCGTAATTGGTGCACAGGACAGTCGTGTCAATAAAAACTTTTGTAGAAAAATGTAATTATTAATGAGCTAAAAGTTAAGGCAGTGATTTTTGTTTTTATGTTGAAGTTGGTGCTATAATTGAAAAACAATTTAAAAAGCGCGCTTCGCACTATCGCTTATGCAATGCATACTATCGATAGCATTACCTGTCAATATGCTCTCAAATCAAGAACATTTCCTTAACGAAATAAATAAACCATTATTGTATTACTTAAATTAGTTTGTTAATAATGTAATTGTTTGACTTGCAGCCAATTCAATAATGCTCATAATGGTATTTATATCGAAATTGAAAATGGAACTTAACGTATTTTTTTGCACGACCAAAATGCAGCATTTTTTAGCGTTTAATGTATGCGGCCACACTTACCTTGTAGTTCACGCGAGTCTGTCGCCATGTTTGGTTATTTTATTTGTTTTTAAAGCGGAGTCACACCAGCTGAAGTAAACGCTCCCAAAATTTTCTGTGTGTCGTGGAATCTAATTTAATTTGACACAATACAAGGATCGCGTCCGCACGTCATACAACGTATACAACGCTTCGTATTTTTTTTTTGGCAGTGCGATCGCAACCAGTGAGACAACCAAAACAACAGCAAATTGTTCCATTTGCACAAAAATAGCCTAGAAATTCGGCAGCGAATCAACAACAACAACATCATCCGCAGCAACACAAGCGGCACTTCTAACTGTAAAACGCCGCTACGGAACACAACGCAACGTAGCAAAAGTGTTACAAAGTGAAATTGCCTTTTGCGGCACACAAAAATTAAGTACACGGCAACAGCAGCAGCAGCAATAACAAATAACATTTTGTGCTTGTGCGTATATTTTTGTAAAGTTTAACTATAGCCGAGCAGCGAACAATTCCAATTGGAATTCTCAGCTGACTGCAGCTAAAACCGAACAACAAGAAACAGGAAGAAGAAGAAGAACCGCAAAAATGGGCGATTTTGATTTAAATGTGGACAGTTTGATACAGCGGCTGCTGGAAAGTAAGTAAAGACCGTAAATACAACTAGACTAAAGCAGTTATCTCTCTACCTCCCTCTCTCTCTGTTTCTCTTTCTTTATTCTGTTAACAATTCCTCTTATTTTACCCACTTTTCGTTTATAACCTAATTCTGCCTGCTGCCTGGTGGCTAAGCGTGTGTGCGAGTGCGAGCGAGAGGGGCGATTGCATTTTCTAATTATTGCACATTGTGTTCGTTTAATTTGCAAGCAACAAGCGCAGAAGCAACAACAACAATAACAACTGATGTACAAGCAGCCAATTACAACAAGCAAGAATAATAAACACTACAACAACATCAACTACAGAAACAACAACAACAGCAATAAACACAAGGCGGCCTCCCCCTTTTTTTATTTGACTTTTGAATCAATTAATTTTAATTGATTTTCATTGCTTCTCAAATGTAACGAGCAAACTTTGTTGTTTTTGTTGTTCTTGTTATTGTTGTTGCTTTGCGGTTTTTGTTTTTGTCAACATATTTAACATGGCTCATTAACAATTAACAGCGCCACTTTACATAACAGCGTTGCGCTAATAACTTAACATGATCATCGTTGACTCAATTCTCGCTCTGTTAAGTGTGTGCCGTTATTTATTTTTATGTTTCTTCTGCTTCTATCTAATGCCCAATTGGTTGAGGTCTATTGCAAACTCTTGACGCCTAGCTGCATGACGTCATCAGATGCTAGCAGCGATACGACGATTTGCTGATAAGCACAAACATACACACATAGATGAATCAGGTTAAAGCCAAAAAGCTCATTGCTGCCAACATTTGAGTCACGTGCACTCTGCCCCTGCTCTTCCTCTCCTTTCGTCACTGCTGCACTGTGATAGCAGAGTAGCAGTGTTATGCAGCTGTTAACACACATATACACAGCCACACACAATTTTGCGTTTAGCGGTTTTTAGCAATGATTCTTAAATGGAAATAAATGCCATTTTTTTTTAAGTTTCTGAAACTTTTTGAAGCATGTATTTTTCTTGGTTTGAAATTGAATGATTTTTCGTATTTGTTCTCCAGTTTTGACTGTATTATATTTGCTAACACATACAGGCTGTCCATTCGTAGCCGATAAATAGTTTAGCTCTCTGGTTGAAGAGGTCGTTGGGGGTGCTGGGGGTTTAGTTGTTGTTATAGGCTTGTAGCCTTCAGCTTAAGCCGCTTAGTGCAGCGCCCGTTTTCCACGTTAGGGGGCGCTGCACAAATGATCTGTTGGCCATTTGACGGCTTTGGTTTGTTTGTAAAATTGCATTTAGCCACAATTTAAAGCATTTCTTTTTTGTTGTTGTCTGTTTTTCTTTCTTTTTTTTTAATCATCCATTTCCGCCCAGAGGCAGGCTCGCTCTGACGTGGCCAACTTAAGCTAATGATGGCCCCTAATGGCAATAAGAAGTGGGGAGCAGCACAAAAAAAAAACAAAAAAAATTACATTACTCATGGCTGACAGAGTGTTGATGTTGTTGTTGGTTGTTGTGCGAGGGCAGACACGCCCTACGCCAAGGTCAGCCCCCATGGGCTAGGTCATGCAACGAGAATTGTCATTAATTTTGCGGTCCCAAATTTCATTTTTCAAATTGCAAATTGAAATTAAAATTTCAAGCAGCTGCTGCTGTTGCTGCCTTCATCATCATCATCATCATCATCATTAGCACCACCCACATCCAGAGCCATTTCCATTATCTCGCCTCGTCGGGCAATCGTTTGATTTGCTCTTCAATTCGATTAGTTTTGCGAGCGCAATTGTAAATCCTTAAAATAAGTGTGCATTTACTTTTTTTTTGCAATTGAATCAGAGTTACAAAAATTGAAAATTTATTGTTGCGGCTCGATTTCTCTAAAATTTAGAAAAACAAACATTTTACATAGCTTAGAGATTTTTTCTCCTAAAATTTTAGAAATTAGTTCTAAAAATAGAAGAGCTTTTTTTAGCGCGATGTGTTTTCCGAGTCTATGCATTTACAATTTACTCAAAGGCAATCCATCCAAGCTTTGCCATTTGCAAAAAAAAAAAAATAATAATAAAAAATAATTGCATTTGGAGGGAGTCAACTTGTGTAATCCCCTTGGGGCCAATTTACAATCGCATGCAGCGCTTTCAATCATACATTTCATGCCATCAAAAAACTCGATCAACAACAACAACAGAAAAATGTTTCATCTAAAAAAGAGGAGAAAAGCAAATATCAATAAAATAGAAATTAAAAAAATAGAGGAAATAGGAAATGATAAAAACCCAGCAGCAAATAGATCCCATTGCGAATTCGATTCATAATCCATACTTTCTACGCACGGTAAAGTAAGCACCTTACTTGCTTGCATTACTTTCTTGTAATGAAGAAATCGTTAATGGAATACTATACGAATCCATATACAAAGATATATAAACTGTAATGCAGTTGAATTATATATGTATATATTTTCAAAGTGTAGAAGTTAAGTTTGTGCTTGACTGGAAAGCTTAAGCAGACAACTCTGCATAGAAGTAGTAATGTTCTGTAATGAATTACAGAATGCATTCGGTGATGATATAGTTCGCTGCTGGGATATGTGTGTGTGTGTGTGTGTGGGTGTATGACAAACAGAACACCGCTCTCTCCTCCATCTTTCGCTCTCTCTTTCGCACTCTGTATGCAGCTCTCAGTCACCAGATGTTGCCTCTCTTTAGTCCACTCTCCCCTTCTTTTCCATTCCACCTATATTTCCCTTTTTAAGTTTGTTTCACGTTTATATATCTATTGCTGTAATCTTAATCTTTAACTCTATATATATATATGTGATCTCTATATATATATGTATACATTTGTATATATATATGTACGTGTGTATATGTGGATATGTTTATGTTTGTGTGGCGCCACGAAAGATTTCAAAAAACAAAAAGAGGCCGAGGAGCATGCCCAGAAGCTGCTCATCTCTCAACAATTGGCTGCCGCCGGTGTCGGTGCCGCCTCCACTTCAGCTGCCTGTTCAATGGGCGGCGGCACGCCCCCCACTCCCAGCAGCAGCAGCGGCAGCAGCGGTGGCACATCAGCATCGGCATCAGCATCGGCATCGGGTACGAGTGATCCGTTAAATGAGCTCACCGATCAGCAGCGACGCATGCTGCTGCAGGAATATTCAATATCGCCGCCCAGCGAGACAATGATATCGGCGGATGGCGATCAGATAACGGTGCATCATCCGCGCGAGGAGCCCAAAAAATCCAGATTGAAATTGCGTGATTTCTTCGTTGCCGAATTTGGTATACAATTCATGATCCTCAAGCATCAAAGTGCAAGTTCAAAATGCAAACACAAAAAAAAAAAAATAGAATTCATCTATCATCATCTCTCTCTCTCTCGCTCGCTCGACCGCTCTCGTGTTCGCTCTCGTTCGTACTTGCTATCTCTCCGTTTCTGTATATGTTTCTCTCTCTCTCCCTCTCTATGTATGTATGCGTACTTATTTATATCGCCATTCTCTTGTGTCGCACATTCGTCGTACAAATAGAAAAAAAAAATGAAAAAACAAACGAATCCCCAGCTTTTGCTCATTTCCAGCAACTACGAGTTAACAAATTGACATTTTGCTATTTTCATTTATTTTGGCATTTAGGACTAATCCTCTTATTACGTTCCTAAGCACACATACAATATACATACACATACAATACACACACACATATACATAATATTCCCCAGCTTTGTAGAAAGTATGCAATGTTTTTATAACTAGTTAAGACATGAGTATTATAAATTTTGACTCCCTAAGCTAAAATCATTATTATTCTTTCATTTAGTAATAATTTAGAAATTTTAATTACCTTAGAAATAAAATGCATGTTAATTAACAGGACGCAGCTTTTTAGTATTAATAAATGTTAAAGGCTCGTGACAATTCTTTACAATATGTACAATGTATCATTATTAAGCGAGCTTTTAATAATAGTTATGCAGTTAGCCCTTTCTTTTAAAACATAGTTCCAGATAAAGAATGAATATTAGATTCCAATGAGAGATTAAATTTATTCCAATTAATGTTAAGTTATCCAATCACGCTTTGCTGTGATCATGTTAACGTAACGTGTTAACATGTGTGTTATGTTAACATATCGTAATTCTGTTAGTAAAAGCTGTTGTAAACTTAATCGCATTTAATTCTGCTGATATTTTTATTTTCCATTTTAAAAATGAAATAACAGTACAATTGAAATTTCTTCCCAAATATTTGTATTGCTGCAAATGTAGTTGTTGCAGTTGTTGCACAATTTGGGCAGTCGAGTGCTGCATTTTCATTACCAATGGTGTTTTTCATGTGTCTGCTGCCTGACATTTGTGGTTAGCCTCCCACCTGGTGCAGCGTTACCTAAATTTCACTCCACGCCGCTACCCAAATCCCAACCTCCTCCGTCACCTACCGAATACAGTTTAGGGTATGTAATTGTTTTCACACGCCAGATTTGTAAATGTCAAATAAATTCTGGCATATTATGTATACATTCTGAGCTATTGTCAAAATGAGTGGGTGGCGAAGGAGAGGTGGGAATAATGCATAACATTTTGCTTGAATAATACTGTTATCTGTGTGTGTGTGTGTGTGTAAGTGATGTTGCTTGTGACACGCGACTGACACCCAACTACTGTGGCACTTGCGAAAAAAAAAAAAAAAAATGATTGGGACCCCCTCAAAAAACAATAATCGTAAACTATCTCGAAATTGATTGGCGTTGAGTGTGCAAAAAATTTGGCATAGACATGAAAACGGAAACAGTCACCCAACAGTAAAATTAGCCATTCGCAATTTACTGTTTGCATTTGTTAGTGTGTGTTTTCTGCTTCTTCTTCATTTTTATACGCTTTTCTGATGTCGTGTGTAAACAAACAAGTTCATTCACGTGATGCGACAGCACTCCATTAACCCTCCCCTGCCCCCCACTCAACCCCTCCCACACTACACAAACCAACACCCCCACCCCCACTGTCAAAATAATAAAAAATATAATAAAAACAGAAACCATTTAGCTAATCAGCCAAACACAGAGCAGAGAACTGAGTGAAGGTTACGTAGACCCATCAGGTCCACATTGGCATTATGTCCGTGGCTGAGTTATCGCTTGAAATTCCGCTTACACCGTATAACACAATTTCTACACATATTTATTCGAAAATGCAGTTATTGCTTGTGCAATTTTGCTTGTGTAACTGTGTAAATGAGCCTCATGACGAATGATCTGATAACAAATGCAACGTGATGCATCGATAAACAAGCGTTACTTATCGATAAATGAGTTATGATTAAGTGCTATGATTACAAACATTTAAATCATATTTTGTCAACCAAAACTATCGATAACGTATGAGTATTTAATTATAATAATTATAAATATTTACTCATTTTTCATATCTGCATCGAATTCCGAATTAATTGATAAGTTTTGGCGATAATCATCGGTAGACAAACTTCACATTCAAATGGTGCTCATCGTTATCTATGTAGGCACATGTATAGATAAGATATGCACAGACATATTGTTTATTGATTCAACCAAAGTAAGAATATCACAAATTGTAACTATTTTCGTTATTTCGATGTGCGCAAATGTATATATGAGGAAGTATTTGCGCAAAGTTGATTGCGCAGTGTTATCGATTAGTTTTGTTCTGTTAACTGTCTGAAGTAATCATCGTACATCGTACAAGGCCTCACTTCCATTTCCAATTCCACTCCCAATTCCATTTCCATATCCCACATTCGCTTGATTTCGTTTCGTGCTCAAATATCCTTCGTTATTTTTTGATGCATTTCTAATGTTTGTATAATATTTGTATAATTGAGTTGGTTGTTGTTGTTGTCGTTTTTGTTATCGTTGTTGTTATAGTTTGTTGTTGCTGTTGTCGTTGTCGTTGTCATCGTCGATGTCGCCAGAGTCCCCCATGCCATATGTTATCGTTGAATTTATGTTGTTGCTGCTGTTGCTGTTCTTGTTGTTTTCGCTTTTGTCGGGGGCATCTTTCAAGTCTGTTTGCGCTGTGCGACGCTGATTGAAAATAGAATTTGAATTTGAATGTCATAACCTTCACTTGAGTAGTCGCATCAGCAAGCCACCTAAACATGTATACGAATATATATATATTATATATATAAATATATATGCGATTGAAAATAATCATAGTATGTAATAATAATAATAATAATAAAGGGAATATTATTAAATGGCTCTAATAAGCAAGCCAACTGCCAACTGCCAACTGGCAATTGTCAATTGGCAACACAACTCGCTCATTGCGTGCGAATTTCGCAATATCAACCGGAAAGTGGAAAAGCAAATTGCTCTTCGGTTTTATTATGTGGGTGGTCTGGTGCTCCTTACTTCCTTCCCCCCACCCCCCTCCTCATCCAACTAACTCACCTTGGCTAATGCTTTGCCATTTCGTTTAAGTATTTTTTGATTAGCTTTTTGCCATTGACTTTATCATCATCTGAAGTGATGGGGCAACAGGCAATATTGATGACGGCTTTGGTTGGCTAATTGGGTGTTGCTCGCATGCACATATATATACAATATATATTTGTATATATATATATAATCAATAAGATTGCAGATAGTTCAGATACAGATACTTGAAGTCAGCACTATCGCTTTAAGAGATTACTAAACTGTTTCAAGAGAAACTCTCCAGCAGCTCGGCCAGATTGCGATTGTGATTGAAAAACGTTTCATAATCAAAGTTAGTCAACTAAAAAAAATAAGAGTAAAAAATGAAATTAGGTAAAAAGAAAAACAAATAAATTTTAAAATATATAAAATATAAAAAGTAAAATGTTTAAACATTTTTTGGTAGGAATTTGGAAACAAACAAAAAATGCTAATGATTAGCGATTAGTGTATATTGAGTCTATAGGTGAATAAAGTTTACTAATGTCCGTTACGTTCGACTCGCTCTTAAAACATGTCAATACGGCATAGATTGCTATCTCAAACTCCCTTGCTCATCTCTCATATCTCTCTGATTGTCATTCTGTCGCGTCAATTGATGCATTTGTCGAGTTTGCTTGTCATCAACAATGAGGGACAAAAACGACAAGCGGAACCAGAACAGTAAGAAAACTGCAATCACGTTATGACATGTGGCTAACGAAAAGCCAACAAAACCGTAAAGTTTGTTCATTAAATAAGAGCACGCTTCATGCATGCTTAAGCAACACACACACACACACAAAAGATATAAATAAATAAAGAAGAGCAACAACAATAACAGTAACAAAAAAAGAAAACCCAAAACGAACCCTAAACTCAAACCCAAAACCGAACTTACAGCTCTAACGGATGTAAAGAACGTGAAGAGCCAAGAAGAACAACAAAAACAGCACGCAGTTACAGTTACAGTTACTGCTGCTGCCGATTGCTAATAAACAAGTGCAAGTGCCAAATGCCCTGTAAAAAGTTTGATTATTAGATGGGTTTATTAGCCACACACACGCACCTGCTTCTTGGCCAACGTATGAGCTTTGAGTGAAGCGGTCGGCCTTTAAATGCCGACAGATAAACGACTAATTGAATTTTATTGAAATCATATTTACAGAGTATGTTAAGCGTTGTCCATTGCCTGTCTATCTGCGGTCATCTTAGTTGCTTAATTATCATTTCTCTAGCAAAATTCAAGTGAATTATTGAAGGGGGGAGGGGGGGGGGTTGTTGTGGAGGCATTTCGGCTGCTCTGTTGTGTGAGGAGGCCCCATATATATATATATGTATTTATGTGTACATGTGTGTATGTAAGTTATGTTACACGATATGACACTGTAATTCTCATCAGCCCACACTGGGCCACATTGATAGATTTTTTTGGTATAAATTCGAAAAATGTTTGCAAATAAATTATAGTTTTAATTAATTACTTCGGAAAAGCATAACTTAAGTGTAATAAATTGAGGATGATAAATAAATTGATGATGAAACTGTAGGTCAGCCAAAGCAGTCGTCAGACATTCGATCAGTTGATTTAGGTAGCAAAACAGCGGAAAATTTCTGCATCTTGCGATTAAAACTCAAAAGTTAACAATGAAAATTACTGGCAAATGTATATGTAAAATAAATAAAAAACAATACATTGTTTTGTAATTTTTAAATATTAATTCGGCGCTCATCTTGGAGTGGAAACTAACTTTTGTCAACTTGTCAAAAAAAAAAAAATGTAATAATTGGAAATTGTAGCCCAAAGTGTGTTTTTTGTATCGCTTTTTCGACTTTTCTTGTTGAAA